GTGCAGTCATACATATGGGAGCAAACAACTTGGAGACATGCCACTAAGAAATGGTAAGGTAGCTCGGCAATGCATCGAGGCAGCTGAAAGTGCAAATATGATAAAAAGAAGAGTAAAAAGCAGAGATGTGATCGTCATATTGAACCTATATAAAGAAATGGGTTCGACCTAAGTTGGAGTAAGTACAGTGTTCAGCTTTGGAATCCAGATTTACAAAAGGACAGACATGTGCTCGAGAACATTGAAAGGAGGCCAACGAAAATGATAAAAGAGTGTCGCGGTATGCCATATGAAGACAGATTAAAAGTTTGTGGATTGACAACACTAGAAACAGAAGAAGCACAAAAGGAGATTTGATTCAGACATACAAAATCATCATTATGAAGGAGAATTTGGATTTTTTGAGCTTAAGATGAGCTGTAAAACAAGGGGCCATAAATATAAGATCTTTAAAAAAACTCGGGATCGATAGAGCAAAAATTTGTCAGCTGCAGAGTTGTCGACGAGTGCAACAAACTGGGAGATGAAATAATATGCGCAGGAAGAACTAATAACTTTAAAACCAACTTGGCAAAAGTAGGATGTTTAAAAAAATCTCAGAGTGGTCATGTCACGGACTTAGTCTTCTTGCATCACCATAAAAAAATCTTTGTTACGTTATGTTATTCATTCATTCATTTTTTTTATCTGTTTATTGGTTCATTTATTCATTCGTTCATTTTCATTCATTCATTTTGTATTATTCTATATCTATTTATGTCAATAAAAGATGACTCCAATATACATATTTTTAATCATAAACAATTCTCTTGTTTAATTCACAATTGAAATTATTAAACAGACAAAAATGATTGAAGCAACGGCCTATATTGTTTCCAAATGAAGGAATACAAATTTAAAAAAAATGAATGAAAATGGATGGATTGATTGATGGACGGGTGGCAAAATAATTCAAGTTTTTTTTATTAAAAACGAATGCAGTTTTCATTCAGTTTTCAAAACTAGTTGGACCTCCCATACTTCGAATGAGGATGTATTTAAACAGCCAAGTTATGAAAAGAGGAAATTACTATAGATAATCGACGGGGGAAGTTGAAGTTTCTTGGTCACATCATGCGGAAGGAAAGAATGGAAAATCTAACAACTACTGGAAAGATTATTTGAATGAATGGATAAATGAATGAATAATGAATAAACAAAAAAATGAGCGAACGAATGAATGAATATGTGAATGAATAAATGATTGATCGATGGATGCTTGTCTCATTACCTATAAAAGTCAATTCACTAAAAATCTTAAGCGATTAAAAATAGGAAAAATAGACTTTTGAATTATTCTATCATTCATTCATTCATTCATTCATTCATTCATTCATTCATTCATTCAATCCTTCATTCATTCATCCATCAATTCATCCATTCACTCGGAGAAGGCGGAGAACTGATAATGATTCTCTTTCAGCAGTTGTTCCATTATTATGCCCAACGTCTCGTAAGTTAGCTCCTCATCGGCGCTTAACTTAAATTCTTTGGGGGAAAAAATTAATGCTTTTTAATTTCATTATAATTTATAGTTTAAATATAATTAACATCGTTATTATAACCTATTGTTTTATTATTAATAATATAATTAACAATTATATTCTATTGTTTTAATATAGATAATATAATTTATGGTATTATTTTTAATATTTACAGTAGTAGTGGGGCAAACGTTTTGCTGTGAGGGCTACATTGAAAACTATTTTACTTTTGAAGGGCCGCATATGCACTTAAATAGCAAATTTTTCGATCCGGGAGAAAATTTTTTAAGATTTGTGGTCCCTCTTTTGGTCATAACGTCTGGCTGGCCACCTTTTTTTGACAAATAAGGCCTCCCGAGCCACATAAAATAGCTTTGCGGGCCGTAGTTTGCTTAACGATGCAGCCGTAGATGTTTATTCTATGTGGCTACCTCCTAATTTTTGTGGCCACCCCTTAATTTTTGTAGTTACCCCTTAATTTTTGTGGCTGGAACAGTTATCAATCGTTTAACGTTAGAATCACGACACTTATGTAGAGAGCTTAATGCGTTATAATTACTAATTACGGTTAAAAATAATATCATGATAAATAAACAAATTAATGAATAAATGATTGATTGGTGGATTGAATGAATAAATGAATGAATAATATAGTCAATTGTTTTCATGATTATAAGTCATAATTATAGTCATAATTAATAATATAACAATAAATATTTATCAATTTCTAACCGTTATAAAAATCTTGATCGGATTTAGTGTCTTTCTTTAGAGATTCTATGGTGATCTTCTTCACTGGCATATCAATGCCGTCATGGCTGCCGTTGAGTAACTATGGCGACAAAAATTATATAACAATAATAATAATAGCAACAACAACTACTACTACTACATCAACAATAATAATAACAACAATCATAATCATACAGCATGCAACAACAACCTAAGCATAAACGTATATATTAGTTATCGTCGTTAAGAATTAAAATCATCATCATCACTGTCATTGACGTCATCGTCATCATCATCATCAATATCATCACCATCAACATCATCATCACCACCTCATCATCATCATCATCACCACTTCCTCATCATCATCAGAACCATGTACCTTACTGATCTGTTGTTTCAAATACAAGCATGTTGTACCGGGTCTAAATAAATGCCTTTTAAAATCTTCCACCAATCGCCTTCGAGCGTTATATTTCAGGCACGGGGGTAGCTAATTAATATTCACATATCACGCATAAATTAACATAATATTATCCAGCTGGTAGCCAATAATACTCATCCATTTGTTAACAATCAACTTAAACAACAATTGAAAATTTTGTTGGCTCGAGGCAAAACAACAGTGAAAACAAATAATAGCAACAATAATAAAAATAATAAAGAGAATGAGATTATTAATTTAATTAAATTTATTTGTTATATCTAAAAATAACCTGCGTAATGTATATAATCTTGTGTATCTGATCGAGCATTTGAATGATTGGGTCGAACTTGACCAATCGCAGCTTCTCTGACGATATGGATAGGACGGCAGATGCGCTTTCTTGCATAAATTAATAAAATTAAAAATTAATCAGAAACAATAAATAGTAACTAACTAATTAATATTCACGACTAAAATTTATTTTTATCCTGACTTACTTATTTTTCGCCCTTCAACGCTTTGTAGACGGCTAAGAGATTTAACCCGATTTCTAAAAATAGTACACGGAGCTGATTGGATAAGATTTTCGTGATAAACGTCGCTGATTGGTTCAATTTTTGTCGACTCGGAATTCTTCTGTGGTTTCGATAATAGATTGAGACTCGGTAACGTACCGGACTTCGATAATTGTTTCGATAAAGTCGGAATTTTGGTCTGCATCGGTACATTGCTGGCATTAATTTTATTCTTCCACGATTGAGCGAACGCACCGACTCGGTGACGGTTGCCGATATTATTGTTGGTACTACTGTCGTAACTTCCGGTTCCGCTACCATCATCATCGTCGTCGACGTCATCATCGTCGTCGTAATCGTCAAAGACGCTATTATCGCCACGCTCGTTGTTTGAAGTCATTTTGGCGGAAAACATCATTTTGGAATTCATTTTCGACTGCGAGCAAGATGGCGGTGATAATAAGGGGAGGGGTGGTTTCTTAAACATGTTTTTATTAGTATTGTTGTTGTTGTTATTTTTGTTGTTAGTGTTGTTGTTGTTGTTACCGTGATTGATGTGACTGCTGTTGTTGTTGTTGTTCTTGTCATTAAATTTGTCGTACAACCTATTTCGCGATCTTTTGTCGGTCAATTTCGTGCGAATTTTCGGCAAGTATGATTGGTTGTTGTTAATGTCGTTGTTGAAGTTATTAACGTTGTTGTTGTTGTTATTGTTGCTGCTGCTGTTGATGACGTCATTGTTGCTGTTGTTGTTGTTACAGAACGTTGATGATCGCTGACTATTAACTAGGTAATCTTCATCATTCAGTTGACTGCATTTGGTGAAAAAAAGTTTATTATCTACATGTATATACATACATATATAAAAATTTAATTCAGATGATATAGATTTGACTGTGGCGTGTGTGTGCGTGTGGCGTGTGTGTGCGTGTCTGTGTGTGGCATATTGTTGTATTTAGCATGAATTTTTTGAAACATTTCTTAGAAAAAACAAAGAAAGAAAAGAAAATTAATAACATAGATCAGTCAGTATAAGAGTTTGCTGTTTATAACAATTTCGAAAAAACATATAAAAGTGGCCATGGAAGAAACAAACTTTTTCATTCTTTCAATCTCCCGATCCAATCTTTTCTTCATCTTTCTCTCGTTCGACCTGGACTCCGTCAAAAACTTCATCAGGACATCACTGATTTGTGAGGACACGCCCACTATATCCGGTCTTTTGGCCTGGTCGGCGGTTAGGCAGCTGTGAAGGGGGGGGGTTAAAATTAGTGAAAGAAAAATTGGTAACTATAATGGCATTGTTGATGACGCCATTGTTGTTGCTTAATTAATTAATAGCGTTGTCATTATGTTATAATTATTATTATGTTATTATTATTATTATTATTATTAAAAATACAAACAGTGCAATTGTCTTGCTTATCTTTTCGCTATACAGATTGCAATCGACCTGTTCATACTCTGCCTTCACAATCTACCAATTTGTGATGAGGATAAAAAAAGACAGAGAGAAATGGAATGAAGCGCTAGATGATTTACGAAAATGGAAGCAGAATTGTTAGCATTAACAACAGCAAACGAACAAACAACAACAACAAACAACAACAACAACAAACAACAACAACAACATTAACAAACATCAACAACAACATATTTTTATCAATACAACGTTTATATTTTTAGCAGCTGTAGTAGAAGCATCATTATAAACTTTACTGACAAGTGTTGTTAACGTTTTGCACAAAAGACGCAACAAACAACAGCAAACAACAACCAAAAACAACAACAACAACAACACAATCACAACAACAGCCACAAAAATAACACCAAAACAATAATAATAATAACACAAATACAGACTTTACTACTTAGGGCCAGCATATTTTTGCTAACGAACGGAGGTTCCAGCTTGCACATGAGGTACAGCAAACAGCCCAGCGACCATATGTCCACTTTTTCACCGTACTCTTCGTTTTTCACCAACTCAGGACTACGTTTTTGGCGATTTTTTTTAATTTTCCGCAAATTTATTTATTGAAAATGAATTCAAATTTAATATTATATATATATATATATATATATATATATATATATGAATCTAATCATCGAATCAATCGATCAATTAGTCTATCGATCAATCAATTGACCGACAAGTCGATCAATTGCTCAAGCAATCTGTCTCAGTCACTCAACCAATCAATCTTCACAAGCCCAACTGCCTCAACGTATCATTTTAAAATAACCAATTTCATTTGAGATTAATTTCATCACAATCCTCTCAACGAAAGTATAATTTCATCCCACATTATCATAATTTATTTATTTTTCTTCCACATTAAAATTACATACTGTACTATAATTTGAATATTATAACCGTGACAAAATTCACCTAGAATATAATATGGAGCCCACCACGGAAACCATCCTACCGCTGTCTGGGTCTTTTTGCTTTGCAAGGCCAAAATCGGCTAGTAGAAGGTTGTGTGTGTGCGCGTGTGTGTTTGTGTGCGTGTGTATGCGTGTGTGTGCGTATCTTTGAGAATGAATTAATAAGAAGATAGTTATAATGATAACTATAATAACAATAACACAAAAATTTGTTTCTAAATATAAAAATGTAATTATGACGTATTAATATTTTGATGAACATATTTTAAAACGATTGTTTGTGATTTAAATGAATGAACGAATTAAAAAACGAACGAATGAATGAACGATTGAACGAACGAATAAATGAACGAATGAATAAACGAATGAACGAACGAACGAATGAATGAATGACTAAATGAGTGAATGGATTAATTAAAAAACTAGAACGAACTTATAGTAACAACATCGTCATCACTCAACATGACGTTGTTGGCCGTGAGGTCCCTATGGACAATTCGTTTTTCTTTGTGCAAGTAATTCAGGGCTAAAACGATCTTTGAATTGAATGAATTAAATCACTGTATACACCCAAGTCCACACAAACAAACACACACACACACGTAAACATACACACAAATACAGACACACGCAAACGCACGCACACACACGCACACACAAACACGCACTTCCCAGAGTTTATTGAAAATTAATGGTCTGAATGAAAATTAAATAGCTTTTTCATTGTTAAAAAATCTATTGAGGAGTAGTAAAAATGTCTAACCATTAGGCTGAACATAATATTTCGCTTATCATTATTTTTAAATAAATAGATAAAAATGAATAAATAAAATAAATAAATAATAATACTTGAACAAAAATATGCCAAACGCGTTCTTCGGTAAATTGGCCATTTTTCTCTTTAGTAGAGCTGACGTGTTCGTTTAAAGAGGCACCATCTATGTACTCCATTACTATGTAAAGGTCCCTACCAACCGTGTATGTGCGTGTGCGTGCATGTGTGTGTGTGAGTGTATAAAACGAATGTCGAAAGGAAATCTTAAAATTAAAAAACGAAAGCGATACTGAAACGAAGGAATATCGAAATGAAATCCCGAAATTCTTGCCTGTCGTACGTGAAAGTTTTGTAGTATTTGACGATATTTTCGTGATTCAGTTTCTCCTGGATGACGTTGAGTTCGTCGCACTCGGTCGTCGTCCGCTCGTGTCCGCTGTTCATTTTGACAATCTGCGTGTGTGTGTGTGTGTGCGTGTGCTGCCATTATAATTACCACACTACAGTAATATAAAAATGGTAATAATTTGTAAAAAAAATTTTTTTAAATATTAATAATAATTATCATGAAAAAATTATTTCCCCCGTATGTGTACGTGTGTGTGTGTGTGTGTGTGTGTGTGTGTGTGTGTGTGTGTGTGTGCGTGTGTGGCTATTATAATTACCACACTACAGTAATATAAAAATGGTAATAATTTATAAAAAAAAAAAATTTTTAAATTATTAATAATACTATATTTGAAAAATTATTTCACCCACTTCTTTGATAGCGAGCGGGGTCTGGGGTTGCGACACCTTGTGGCCCTTGTAGACCTTCCCGAACGCACCGGCGCCTAAAACGTCGATGAGGATGTAGTCGTTTATCTTTTTCAGTGGCAACTTGTTCAAGTTCGTTGATATTATTTCCAATTTTAATTTGTCCAACTCTTCCGTCTGTTTTTTTTATTTTTGTTTAATTGCCACTGACTGGCTCTTTCTCACACACACACACACACATACACACACACACACACACACACAGAGAGAGAGAGAGAGAGAGAGAGAGAGAGAGAGAGAGAGAGAGAGAGAAACGTTTATATTTACACATTTACACAAACACCTACACGCACATAAATATAAATATAAATAAATGAAGCCGACATTCAAAGCATTCAGATCGGCAATCAGTTCCTCATAGCCCATGAGACTCCTGTTGTAATGTCCAAGATCGATGAACTTCTCGAACAAAAATGGCGGGAATAGTTTTCTAAATTTGCTCCTGTTTCTCTCCACGCTGAATAGAAACCTTAAGGTTCTTAGGGAGATTGCCTGCGTATGTGTTTGTGTGTGTATGCGTTTGTTTGTCTACATGTGTGTGTGTGTGTGTGTGTGTGTGTGTACGTGAGTATGTGTGTTTATATGTTACTGTATGTTGTTCGTATCATAATATCGTTTTTTAATGAATGAATAAATATTAATAAAATTAATTCAAATGTCGTACAAAAATTATTATCTAACTGCAGTTAAACATATCATATGAGATATAACCTAATATAATAATAATCTACCCACAGTGCTACGACATTCACCAGAAGATTGCACAACATTTCAAACACATATTAACTAAACCCATCTAACCTGTAACTTATTAATCTTACTCAACACTGATTGGTTATCGAGCGGGGCTCCATTCAACCAATCAAAAATCTTCTCCTCCGACTGATTAGTACTAGATGAAAATTCTTTTGAATAATTTTGCGAGCACCAGAGGTGATAGTTAGGCGGGATGATAAGGATTGATAGGAGATAGATGGCATTGTTCTGCACTACTACAAAGGCATTGCTATCATCTGCGACTAGCTCTGTCAGACACGTGCAGCAGACCTTCTTCAATGATAAAAATCTGTCCCAAGAGCTTTCAAGAGACTGCAGATTAGGGTTTTCTCGTTATGGGGTTATTATTCTTTTAATTAAATTGATCCTTTTTGATGTATATGTGTGTGTGTTGTGTGTGTGTGTGAGTACGTGCGTGTGTGCATGATCTAAGTGTGCAAGGTACCCACTTGGTCGTAATTGAGGTTGTCCCTGTTCATTTGCTGCTTGCTTGGATGGAATGCGTCGTCACTGTAAAAATAAAATTTTAAATATACACGCACAAACACACACACGCACAAACATACACACACACAAACATACACACACACAAACATACACATACGCACACCTATACATACATACTAATACACCATGTTTGTTACGAAATTATGATCTAACGTTAAATAGCACCGACCGTCTAGATAATATAAAAATTCACTTTAAAATGTATAAACGTATATAAAAAAATCGTTAAAAAAACAGAAATGAAAAAACAAAGAAATAAAAATTACTGTAGCATAGATAGTAGAATATGCAGACCCCCCAGTGACCTCATCTCATTGGCTACCTCAGGGTCGGGCGATAATGACATTAGACATTTCAGAACATTCCAGACGTGTTTAACGCTGCTTTCCCTTAATTGACTTCAACAAAACATTACCTTTTTTTATTAATTTAAAAAAAATCGAATTTAAACACCAAAAATATGTTATTTAGAATCATATCTAATAAAAATTAGCACTTCATGATGTTAAAATTAATTTCTGCAAACTTTTTATTAGTTTCTTCGAGTTTTAAATTACACTCTAAGTGGAAAGAATTCAACAAATATTTAATTTAAGGCCAACCAGCTAAAACATTCAGACTTAAATAATGTTACGTTTCGCAAAGTTTTTGATGAAAAATTAAAAATTAACATGATTTATGACCAAATTTAGTGAGAATTGACCCTATTAATAGAGTTTAAAATTAAATTAACGCAAATTAAAATTCATATTTGAGGGAATTATAGCGTAGAAACCTGAGCAAAACAGGCAGTCCATCGCATATCTTGACCAATTGTCTCGATTCTTCTTCAGATAGTAAGATCATTAATAATTCCGACGCCATTCTTATTCAAATATATCATACCATATGATATCATAACAGAATAATGATGTAATATTAAGATGATATGATGATATGAAGATATAATTAAGATGATATGTATGATATATATAAATATATCACATAAATCATATAGTTTATTTATTAAGATGTTGCTTTTTATTAAGTATTTAACTAGTAACTTTACAGGTTTTTAAAAGATTACTTAGTCTATCTTCAAATTAATATTTGCGATAATTACCTGATGACGGTACATATTAATTAAAGTTATATTATTTATTATTACATACAAATTAAAGTTATATAATTAACTAATTTATTGAAATGGAATTTTAAATATTTCTCTACTTTTTAAGAGGAAAATCATAATTGCTTAGGATCAGTAGGCAGATTTCTTCTGAATTCAAGTGAGAAACTTTTTTGCGAATTTCATGGCTAAGTTTTTTTTTAAAAAAGATTTATTGTGGATTAAAATTTTTCCATAAAATATATATAATTATGAAACAATCGCCAAAGTATAATTACAAAATTATAAGGATATTACTTTTTGGCAAAATAGATGAGAGACTTCAAGGCATGCGATATTACGTCGGAGTTACTGCTCTTTAACATGGAGACCAAACCGCCGAGTAGCACTTCATTCTTGCTGATGTCTAAAACCGTTTGCTCGTCATTCAGAGAAATTTGTTGCAAAATGGCTATAAATTTGATGGAAAATGTTAGATACGACCATTTCTTTGTTATGTATAATTATTTCATCTGGTCTTCGAGTTGGCCCAGACGGTATAAGTGCTAGTTTTGTGTGGTATTATAACGCGCTGACCCGATTCAAATGCCTTTTGATCGAAACTTTAAGATTATATGAGTATGTACGTCGTTTGGTGCGCCCGATGTTACATGGAAATGTTTATTTGACGTGAATATTATAACTTTTGTAGCAAAAAATCAATCTAATCAAAGTTGGTATGGAGCAATTTGTAAGCAGTTTGCTCGTTATTCAGTGCTAAATAACAGAAGAAGACATAGTAAAATTGTATATTGGAAAACGACCAACTCATGATTTTGATGAGACTGGAGGAAACTTCATCCTGGTCACAATTGTTTGAATACAATACCTTGGTAAATTCAGTCAAGACCTTTTTCAATTCATTCAAATTTAATTCGAATTTACTTTTATTTTCAAAAATTGGCAATTTAGTCAGTGAAATTATTTCGTTGGACACACCTCTGAGAACTTATTGAGAGCAATAGATTTAACGTAATTTCCGGCTTTGAAGGTCTCCAAAAAACCCAAATATGCAGATAAATAACTAACACCCAATCTGATTTAAAATAAAATACGTTCATTTGTACGCGCACTAAATGTATTATATGACAAAATAATATTTTACATACTTTGGATCTAAACGGTTTAGAAAAATTCCATGAATTATATCAGGGAGAAAATGTTTCAGTGATATAGCATCATCTCTGTAAAGAAATAGTTGGAAATGGTTTGTTGAAGTTGCTTAAATTTTTAATTTATTTCAAGAAATAACTAAAAATAACTTCACTTCTCGTACAAGCTGTCCAGCAAACTAAGTTCCTCAGACTTAGAATCCTGCAAATAAAATGAATTAAGATATAATCTAACTTCAAATGCGCTTAATTGTCTTAATTACTAATTAAAACCTAAGTAATAAAAACATTTAATTAAAAATATATAAAAAATAAATTTTTATTACAAAAGGATTAGCCAGCAAATGCAAAAGCTTTTTTAGTTGCTTGCTCGTCCTTCTGCAAAATTAAAAATTAAAATCATTAAATAAAATCGAAATGAAAAAAAGTAAAAAACGATAAAACTACGCTAAAAATTATTATAAATCAAGATGAAAATTGAAATGCAAAAAAATAGATGTATTTACTCATTATTTGTTGATTTTGTCTCAGATTTTTTGCCCTGAGACATTTTAAAAAATGATTTTTGTCGCTAAAAAACATCTTACGGGCACTGACAAATTTGGCGTCATTGGTTGTCAGTGGAGTTTTGTAAAAGTGAATTTAAGTTAGAACTTGAAAAAAATAAAGGTAGATTTAAGTTTAGATAATAAGATTACAAATTTATAAATGCCTTTACCTTTATACTGAGGTTTTCAAGAAAATTTTAATATTAATTAAATATTTTTCATTATTGTTATTTAAATACATATAAATTCTCTAAATTATCTTTTTATTTATCACCATTTTCACCAGTTTATACTCATATAGTACTTTATTGTGTAGCGCTAATCAAATTTAATTTTAAAAGTAAGCAAATGAAGATCATAAGGTTTTTAAATTTGTTAAATCTCTACACCCCTTTGAGTTTCACTAAACCAAATTACTTCGGTTAGGAACGATTGGCGATGGAAGTAATGTTGAAGAAAAATGACTCCAAATCTGCCCCCATGTTTAACAGGCAACGGATTACATTCGAGTTAGTGATGAAAATAAATTTATTAATTATTTTTACTTTTTAAAATAAAAACTCTGTTTTATTTACTATTTTCTAGTACTCTACTTCTTACTTCTCACATGATTTCATTTTTCACTTTCAAATTAGGGAATAATTTATTTTATTTTTTGTTTCCCGGTTTTTTTTAAATGGTAATATGATTTTTCAGTCCCCCAGATCCAATCAAGTGTGTCTGTGTTTGTAACAATCAGTTAATCATGGCACTATCCAAGAACACTTTGATAAGAATTGATCTGGACAGGCCTCCATCTACTGACGGTTTTTGAAAATTTAAATATTTAAGTTTTATTTAAATTAAAATTTATTTAAATTTATTTAATTCATGAACAATTTTTTAAATTTAAAAACAAACTTAGTATTTATTTATTTTTGTTCATAATTTTTCTATAATGTCATATTATGTTATTTTGGTTGAAATGAGTTATATTGATTTTAATTTGGCAGAAGTCGAGCTTACAAAGATACAGAATGATTCGGTTGAAAACATGTTCATGGACCCCACAGGCAGCCATGTTATAATTGCCATGTCATCCACTGACAACATCTACCTGCCTAAAAATAGTCGAAAACCCAGAGTACTCACAAAACTGAAGGTAGAGTTTCTATTTAGTTTTTTTTTATTAAAATTATTTTTCCGTTTACTATTAGTAGTAGTTGTAATAGTACTAGAAGTATTAGTAATGGTAATAAGTATTGCTAATTTACTTATTATATTCATATTTTGTTAAGTTTAAACGTTTAAAATTTAATTTCAATTATAACATTAAAGGGCCACAAAATAACTTCAGTAGCCTGGAATGTTAAGCAGCAGACAGAAGCCACTACAGGACTTATTCTTGTTGGAACATCTAAAGGCTAGCTCATTAGCATAATTAATGCATATATAATATTCGTGATTTTGTCAGGTAATTAACTGGTTTAACTCATTCATGATTACATTGGCTTGCTAGGTTGCTTAGCTCATTAGCATAAGCACTCCTTATATCATTTACAATTACAATGTTTAATTGAATAGTATTTATAGACTAAAGATCATTTGCATATCAATTAGGTATTATTGATTAATATCAATGGTTGTAAATAACCTAATTAATATTCAAATTAAGGTGTGCTGTTCGAGTTGGAACTTTTGAGCGGTGAATCAAATAAACTATTTGGGCAGAATTTCGAGACTTACACTAAAGAAGTTGGACTTATTTATTCGTTATAATTCTCTCATCATTATTCTTCACAGGTATCGGCAACAGTAGCAAACAACACTTAGTTACATGCGAATCTACACGTGAAACAACACTTCACACACACACTCATTGCATGTTGTGATAGGTTGAGATCTCTATGCTATCGAATCCGGTCACTGTAATAACAGTGCCAGCCAGGCACTTTACCGCTACACCACCGTGCCGCCAGAATATAGTATTCGTAATATTATTTACAATGACCGATGCAGTTATGCACGTTCGTGAGAGACAAGGCTAACGATGTGACCGGCCTGTTTTTCAGTGAACTGCCCCAAAAAAAGAGCGATAATAATACTGGTAACAAGATGTACTTCGTCATCGTAACTGTGGTCAGGTTGGTAGACTAATTTGTTTACAAGCATACATTTTTATGTTTCTTGTTTTACTTGAATATATACAATTTACATATTTTCACACATGCATGTATACATGTATACATACGTACATATATCTATGCATACATACATACAAACAAACAAAAACAAACATACATGCGCACATACAAACAATCAAACATACATACAAATATATATATATATATATATATATATATATATATATATATATATATATAGTCGATTATATCAACTTGTTGGCCCAATGACATCCCAGTCAAGTGAAGGTGGTCCTAGTTTCAGTTGCTTTTTCGATAATTATTCAGGTTTTTTTCTTTTTTTATTTTTCTCCCATCATCACTATCATCATCATGATCATTATCATCATCATCACTATCATCATCATCACTATCATCATCATCACTATCATCATCATCACTATCATCATCATCACTATCATCATCATCACTATCATCATCATCACTATCATCATCATCATCATCATCATCATCATCATCATCACTATCATCATCATCATCACTATTATCATCATCATCACTATCATCATCAGCATCATCACTATCATCATCATCATCATCATCCTTATCATTATCAGGAAGATTCCAGGACTTTCCATGTGCGAAGAGTTGCAGCCAGCTGTCGGTATATTCGACTAACCACAACAATCCACCTCAGAGGATAGCCTGGCTGATGGACGGCGACGTCTACACCGGACGAATCAACATGGCGGCCAGTCCGGGAATGGACGATGTTATCAAAGATACTAAATTGATACCGTACGGGTTTTCTGCTTTTGTTTTGAATTGATAATCTTTAATTTGATTTTGAGTTGCTTGTCTTTGAGTAAGTGTGTGTGTTGTACATCCATTCCTCGATTCCTTCATTCATTCGTTCGTTCGTTCATGTACTCATACATTCTTTCATTCGTCCAATCATCCATCCATTCATTCATTCATTCATTTAGCATCTTTCCGGAAGACAGCAATAGTTCAAGCTTGACAACAAGCTCCAGCCCCGACAGTAAAAAGCCCATCCCTATTTCAATGGCCATCACGCAATTCCACTTCCTAATCTTGCTGCCTAATTCGCTAAGGGTGATCTGCTTGCTGAATGAGAACCTCGTAGAACAGGATGCTTACGACGGAGTCTGACATTTTTCTTCTCATTTATTTTTTGTTTGTTTTGAAGATAATTTGATGTCGAATGTTTGTTTTTTCATTTTTTTTCTAGCAAAAATTTTGAAGATAATTTGATGTCGAATGTTTGTTTTTTCATTTTTTTTTCTAGCAAAAATTTTGAAGATAATTTGATGTCGAATGTTTGTTTTTTCATTTTTTTTTCTAGCAAAAATGCTTGGTACTTTTTTTATTTGAAATTAGTTTGATGTTTTATCCATTTGTCGTTTGAAATTAGCTGGATTTTGATCATCATTTCAATCTCTTGCTTGGATGTAATCTGTAGAGTTACTCACATATGTTGTCGCTCTTTTTATATGATGAACTTAGTTTGATATACTCGCGTTTATATCATACATCAACCTGATATGTCAGTTTTTTTGTAACGCATTTGTGCTTTGAAATTAGTTTTCAGTTGAATCTTTTCTTCATTAAAGTTAATTTTCACAGTGAAGTCGCATCTGTAATCAAACTTTGATTTTTTTTTGAGATTAGTTAGATATAGATACGTTCATCTTTTCAGAAATTTGGAGCCTTAAAAGGTGTAACAATGGATCCTATAAAGAGAATCATTTGGTCATTTAGTAGTCGAGCCATTTTTAAATACAACGTCGTTGATGAAAATCGGTTTGTGCATATGTGTGTGTGTGTGTGTGTTTATGTATGTATGTACGTACGTGTGTATGTACGTACGTATGTATTATTGTTTGTATGTATGTTTGTATATATGTTTTTATGTATGTATTTAAGTAAGTATATATGCATGTATGTATGTATGTTTGGTATTTTTACAGGGACATATGGAAGATCTATATGAATATGGGTGAATTTAATCTCGCAAAGCAGTATTGTAAGGTGTGTTGATTGATTGATTGATTGATTGATTGATTAATTGATTGATTGATTGATTGATTGATTGATTGATTGATTGATTGGTTGATTGATTGATTGATTGATTGATTGATTGATTGATACATATATTGACTAACTGATTGATTGATTACTCTATCGACTGATCATTACATGATTTATTGTCCGACAAACCGACTAATTGATTGATCGATTTACTTGATTGGTTGAATAAATGAATGAATGAATGAATGAATGAATGAATGAATGAATGAATGAATGAATGAATAGGAAAATGAATGAATGAATGATGAATAGGACAATGATGACCATTACGATGAAATAGTCAACAAGGAAGCTGACCATCTCTTTATAAGTGGCAGGTTGGTTGTCGTGATGCTTGCCTACATTGCGTTGCATATGTCAGCCATGCAGTGCGGGTTTGAATTTTAGTTTGCGATTGCCACAGACGAAACGCTATATAAATGATTCATTCACCATCATTATCATTATTACTATTACCATCGTCGTCACCATCATCACCATCGTCATCACCATCATCACTACCACCACCATCATTACCACTGTCATCACCATCATATCCACCATTATCACCACCACTATCATAACCACCATTATCATCACCACCATCATCATCGTCACCAGCATCATTACCATAACTTTTCAAAGGTATGATGAATGCGCTTTGGCCTTCGCGAAGAGTAATCGATCGTTCGAGGAGGCTACTCTGAAGTTCTCCAACCTCACTGATAAGAGTCCACTGAAGAAATTTCTGCTGACCAAACTGGACATGATGGGGGAAAAGGTCATGATGATGATGATGATGATAATGGTGATGTGGGTTGTGATGGTAATGATGATGATAATAAGTGTTGGTGAATAAATCAACTAACCACTTAACCAATCAATCAATTAATCGATCAATCAATCAATTAATCGATCAATTAATTAATCATCAATCAATCCATCCAATTGATCAATCTATCAATCATTCATCAATCAATACAATTTATCAATCAATCAATCATCAACTAATCAATCTAACTAACCAACCGACAAACTAACCAGCCAATCAGTGCTAATTAATTAACCAATCAACATCCAGCCCCAAGATAATGCCCAATCAACGATGATTCTGTCCTGGCTGCTGCAGGTTCAACTCCAGTGCATGTCAGACCTGAGGTTAGGAATTCGGAACCAACTCAAACTACCAGCGCGCTTGAAAAAAAACACACGTGAAAATAACCATGATACGGTTCTGTCTACTACTACTGCTACTGCTGTTGCTACTACTACTGCTGCTGCTGCTACTACTACTGCTGCTGTTGGTGGTGATGGTGTAGTCAGTAATGATGATAACGAAGCTGCTAATAAGGTTCTTTTTGATAGAATGAAGATGGAGTTTAAAAGGTTCATGGAAACTGGGAGATTACAGGTTGCGATGATGACGATGATGTTTATGATGGTGGTGGTGATGATGTTAATGATGATGATGATGGTGACAAAATTACTTTGGCTCACACGTTCACATGTTCATTGTACATGCATGTTATATACATATTACAACAAACTCTGCTTCCATGATATTACATTTATAAAATTTTGGCCTATGTGTGTTTATTTTCATTCATTCATTCATCCATCTATTTATTTATTCAACTATTAATTCATTCGTTCATTCACCCATTCATTCATTCGTTAATTCATCCATTCATTTGTTCGTTCATTCACATACACTTATGCAGACACTTATACGAATTAATGCACAACTGATCTATGACATCATCAATGGACAAGGTGACGAGTCGGATTTCATCTTTTTCGCTTCACTCATTTCCGGTAAGCAAATGAATGAATGCATGAATGAACGAACGAACGAACGAAATAATGAATGATTAATTGAATAACGGACTGATTGATTAAATAACTGGCATACGTATAAACGAATGAACATTTTGGTAGCACGTACGCAAGCACACACACACATACACGTACACACGACATACTTACACGTACAAACACACACACACATGTACACATGCAGATTATGAAAGGTTGCTAAGATTTCACATTGAAAGAGGGCAGTTCGAACAAGCATTGAATGTGCTCAGTAAACAAGTACGTAATGGAGGTTGAACAAATTGTGAATTTAGCCGGCCAGTCGAATCGGCCATTTGTATTTGTAAGGCAAACGAATTTGAAAGAAATTCATATTTTAGAATGAGAAACAAGTAGATTCATGCCTATCCAACAATTATTTATCGAAATAATATATTCAATATCTCGTTCAATTCCGTTATACCGATAATAAAAATAGAAATAATAGTTATAATAATAATATACTCAGTTATAATTATTGTTATTATGGCTAATTATATTATTCATAATAGTTGTTATTATACATTATCTAGCAGGTAAGCAAAGACATAATCTACCACTACTCACCCTACCTTATACATCACATTCCGTCGAAAACCATTGATTTCTGGATAAGCAAAGGTAACCGCACACACACATACACGCACGCACGTACACACACACGCACGTACACACACACACAACACATATTTTATAGGGAGCCAATTGGAGCCGAGATCTCTACTACCATCTTTAGTGCAATACGAAAAAAATAGTCATTATTCTAAGGTTGTTGTTGTTGCTTGTTCCATTGTTGTTGTGCGACATTATTATTATTACTATTATCATTATTATTTTTATTATTATTATTATAACCTTTAAAATATCTCCAGTTGGTTTCTATAATAACTTTAATCTTTCATTGTTTAAAATTGTGTGGCCGGTTTCTTTGAATGATGAGTCGATAGAGAGACTGTTATAAGGTTATCATCATACGGCATTTATTGCGACAGAAACAATTTATGATACAAATTTGAATATATTTCACCGCTCTGTCCTTTTATTTTGAATTGAGCTCGGTGGTTTTTATATTGACATTTCATTATTCTACCATTTCATTTAATTATTCATTACCCTGGCCTTGAATAAAAGAGTTCTCATTATTATTATCGCCCCCAGAACAATGACTCGATCAGGTACATTGAATACTGCATAGACAGACAGCACTGTCGTGATCGTTCCGTGCATAATTATTTAGTATCTTTGTACGCTAAATACAATATGGAGGACAGGCTTATGGGCTATCTACTGGATCAGGGAGATGTGAGAGTGTTGTTGTCGTTATTTTAATCATCATCGTCGTCGTTTTCATCGTCGTCGTCGTCATCTTTTCAAGGATCCTGATGCAGTATGTTACGATTTGAAATACGCATTGAGAGTATCATCTGAACATGGTCTCTACCGAACATGCATTCACATATTCACCACTATGCGGCTCTTTGATGAGGCCGTTGACCTGGCGTTAATGGTTTGTTTGCTCTGATTGGTTGGATGGTTTTTATGGTGGGCTGTGATTGGTTGAGTACATTGTGAGTGGTAGACTGTGAATGGTTGGTTGGTTTGCTATAAGGCGGAGCTTATTTTTATCAAATTTAAATGATTGGTCAGTTGAAGGTTTTCATTTGAGAGACTTTTGATGTCGACAGATGTTCCCATATAATTTTTTTTGCTAGTGTATGTTTTATTCATTTAATAAACTCAGATAGTTGAACAAATTATTCAACCAGCCAAGTGAACTCACATACACACACACAAACACACGCACATACATACACACATGCGCGCACGTTCAAACACACGTACGCACACATTCCAACACAGACAGACGTCGAACTAGCCAGTCAGACGGCCACCATTCCAGACGACGACGACGAGTTGCGCCGGAAGTTGTGGCTAAAAATAGCTCGTCACGTGGTCGAAAAGGAGGGCGATATTGAGAAGACAATGGGCGTGGTGGAACGTGGTGGTAACCTGATCAACATTCAAGATGTCCTCCCTCTGTTCCCGGATTTCGTCACTATTGACCATTTTAAGGTTTTGGGGGCTTTTTCTAGATGATTTAAAAAAAAATGATTGTTTCATTTTGTTTTTTTGAGTTTGACGAATTATAAATAACTTTATTGATTAACTTTATTGTCATGATCTTGACAATATTTAGGACGCCATATGCACATCTCTGAAAAACTACAACGACGAAATCGAAGAAATCAAAAAAGGCATGGATGAGGCCACTGACAACGCCCAAGAAATTAGGGACAAGATGGCGGCTTTTAAAAATAGGTTAGGGAAGAGTGGCCGACGAAAATTTTTAGTGATGGGCTTTCATGAATTTATAAAAAAGTTTATGCGCAGATTTGAAAATGTGATACATTTTTATAGATGCACCAAGATTAGCAAATCCGACAAATGCGAGTCATGTGACTTTCCATTAACGTTGAGAGATTTCTACGTGTTTCCGTGTAGACATGCTTTCCATATGGAGTGTTTGCTTAATGAGGTGAATGTTGTTGCAATTTTGTTTGTCTGTTTTGTGTGCTTCTATTTTTTATGTGTGTGTTTCTTATATGGCCACACGTCATTGTATGCCTTAACGATTCTATTTGGTTTACTTCCTCATTCATATACTAACATTATCATTCATTCATTGGTTCATTCATTTATTCATTTAAACACTCCACTAAATTACTAATCCAAGTCCTGGCAGCATCTATCGAAGCACCAAAGAAATCAAATAACCGAGTTGCAGAGAAGGATAGCTTCACTTATCATGGAGAAACACCAGCATCAACTATCTCCGGCCAAGACGAAGGAAATGACGTCATTAAAAAAAGAGATGGACGCATTGCTGGCTTCGGAGTGCATTTACTGCGGGACATTCATGATAGAGTGAGTGGTTCAGTTCGCTTAAGTTATTTATAATCGTTATTTGACAGAACCATTGTTTGTTTTTTTTTATTTAACTGTCTATGTCACTTGCTGTAATATTTTATTATTATCTAGGTGCATAGATAAACCATTCATCGACAAGGATCAGTACGATTCCGTGGTTCAGAGCTGGTTATGACGTAATCATTGACGTCACTATCATCATTTACGTCACCATCATCTCCACTTTCGTCACCATCGTCAAAAACATAATATAGACAATTAAAACAATCACCATCGTGACGTCATCATTGTTTAAATCATCATCGTCATCATCATCGTCGTCGTCGTCTACTTGTCAAACATGTGACTTTCAATCCTTTTCATGCGTACTTACGATTATGACTGGTTGGCTTTAGTGAAGAGTTCGTTTTGCTATCATTTATTACCACAATACTACTTGTATCAATTAAGTTTTAAATAAGATACCCGTTCAATAGTAGCCATAATAATAATAGATAATAATAATAAAATAAACAAATAAAAATTACAAAAATAAAATCTACTAGCCAGTGGCGGACGACAAAGAACAATAAACACACAACATGAAATTGTAAGCATAGACCCGAATATATATATATATATATATATATATATATATATATATATATATATATATATATATATATGAGTAAAAATCTGAACAGACGTGTGTCTTGGATTGGAAGTGGAATTAATTGTATGGCGGGAAAATAATCTTGTGTGAAGCAATTCACGTATGCATGAATGAATGGAGCAATTCACGTTTGTATGAATGAATGAGTGAATGTATGAATGGATTACGATAACTAATTATAATTAATCAACATAATTATCAGTGGAATGTTCATTATATATATATATATATATATATATATATATATATATATATATATATATATATATATAATCTATAATCACACAATTTAAAATATGCTGTTTCAACAAAAGTATAAAATATGTGTAATAAAAACAATTTAAAAAATATATATATATATATATTTAAGACTTTTAAAATGAGTACATGATTGTATATATGTATAATTAGACAAATAATATATATATATGTTGGTAATAGACCATAATTTTTACAATATCTTATATATTCTACTGAATGTTTGGCGTTAACATGTTACTACTAAACGAACTACAAACATATTAACGCCAAACATTCGGTAGAATTTATAGAATATTGTTAAATATTATATATATAGATATATATTATATAGATTGATAAATATACATTATAAATAGCTTACCTTATGCTAAGGGCACTTATTTAATTAATTAAATACTAAGTCTATCGTATCATTGATTTGTTTAAAAGAAAATTGGCAGTCACCAAAATAATGTTGAGTAGGTGAAGCGGAAATTAAATTAAAATCATTAAAAAAATATATATGTATGTAAAATTATTTAATGATTAAAACATATTTGAACAGTTTTTACAAAAGTAACGAAAAAGCATTCAACAAATTCTTCAAAACAAACCAACCAAACAACTAAACGCTCCTTAATTAATCATTAAACGACTTAATTTATGATCATATCCATCCCCAAATTACTCAATCAACAAACCACAAAATCAACCAGTTATTTAATCAATCAACTAACCAAACATCTAACAAGTCAACTGATCAATGAACACATCAATCGAAAGAGGCGCTGCTTCTCTCAGCTCTCTTATACTCTGAGAGCTTAGCTCTTAATTCAGCTATTTCTTCATCTTTCTCTTTCAGCAGTAGCTTCAGTGCTTCAAGTTCCTTAGCCATGTGGCTCGTTGCTGACGAAGCTGATGATGAGGAGGACTGAGACGCTGCGGGCGATGACGTCACTGTTTTCTGCGTGTATGTGTGTGTGTGTACATGTGTGTGTGTAAAAGGGTGTGTCTAATTGGCTGATGGTATTGGAGGATATTAAATAGGTAACGATAATTCTAAAACTCGAAAAATATGAGATTGACATTGGTATTCAGTTAAACATTTGAAACTAGTTGATAAAACCGACCTGCCCGACGAATCCAGTCTTTCTCGTGGAAACGTATCCATCCTTCAGTGACACCTATTGCAGCAATAAATCAAAACATAATTTGTAAGCGTCAGCCAATAAAATTAAGGTATTCGAATCACGCCAGCCAATAAAAAAAACATCAAAATAAATAACGAACCAATAAAAACAAAATATTCCGAATCAAAAGGTAACAAAAATATAAAATCAGCTAATAAGATTGAAGCATTTAAATTATACAGACCATGACGGGTGGGGCATTCTTGCCAGCCAGCCATTCATCAGCTGTGAGGGCGGGAATATCTCCAGGTGTGTCCGGGTAAAGGTCATCTTGAAACAATTCGGACTGTGATTGGTTGATAGAAATAAATTATTCATTCATTTCAATAAATATCAACGTTTCAGCGGAAACTTGTAAATGAATTCAATTGATTTTAATGTAATATTAATTAAGTGAAATTTTATTAAAAGTTTAAAATTGCAATTAAAAATCAATCAACCATTCAATTAACCAATCTATTAATTAATCAATCAACCATTCAATTAACCAATCAGCCATTCAATTAACGAATCAATCAGTCAACCGACTTTTCTTGGTACAGTCATAGGAATGACCTCACACAATCCTTTAGTATGCAACTTGTAGAATCTAACAATTTATTTTCAAAAGAATTTATCAAATCCTCCATAAATTATCATTCCACGCATAAATTAACATATTTAAGCCACGCCTACCTGGCTATCTCGCATATATTAACATTAATCCCTCTCTTGGGCATGCAGGTTATGCCACGCTGTGGGTCCGGGGACTGATACATATTAAGGTAGTGGATGTATGGGGCGTCTTCGGTGATCTCGAAGTACCTGATCATCGTGTCACCCTAATTTTAGGGAAATCAAATACAATAATTTCGATTATAATTATAATGATTAACGAGTGTACTAACATATGCAATATATATATTAAGTCATTTAATTTAACAATAAACAAATGTAAAAACAGATAGTGAATGAATGAATGAACGAGCGAATAAATAAATGATTGATTGAATAAATAAATAAATCAGACGATCCACAAATCAACCAACCAACCGACCAGTCAACCGGCCAATCAACCAGAGTTAATAATTCAATAAAGATACCTTTCCACAAATGTAGACCATAGATGTGTCAGGGTCATAGAAAATGAACATCACTCCATTGCTAGTGTCAATCTCCAGAGTGGTTATGTTCTTCAGGTTCTATGGGAGTGATAATGTGTGGATGGATATATTTTCCATTGATTGGTTGGTTGGCTGGCTGAATCAATAAGTGAATGAATGAATGAATTAATGAATGATTGATTGATTAATTGATTGTTTGACTGATTGATTGATTGATCAAACAACTGATCGAATGACAGAAAAAAATTGAGTGAAAGAATTAATGATTGATTGGACAACTGAATTAAGCATTTATTAAACGAATGATTAAAAACTGAATAAAAAATGAATAAAAGAATGAATGAATGAATGAATGAATGAATGAATGAATGAATGAGTGAGTGTATAAATAAAAGAAATAAAGAAATCAACTCACCTCATCCCATAGTGAGCACTGTCTTTCACTCATCTTTGAAAATCCTAGAAACGAAATAACGACAAAATCCTCTTCATCATCATCACCACCAATCTTCATCATCATCATTTTTTCCACCATCATCATCATCATTTTCCCCACCACCATCATCATCATCACCATCGCCACCAACCAGTAGTGAGTATGGTGTTATTTTTGAGGTAAGCCACTTGGGTCGGCTTGGTACCTTCGTGGCAAACATTCTCCTGATGATGATAATGATGATGACGATGATGGCAATGATGATGACGACAACGATGACGTTAATGATGGTTGGTTGGATATGTCAGACAATCGATCAATTAATCAACCACCTAACAAAGCAATCAACCAATCAATGCTGTTGAATACGGCGACAAACATTGTGATGATAATGATGATGATGATAAAGACGCTGATGATAATGATGATGGTGCTAACGAAGACGATAATCCCAATCATAATCAATTGTATCCCTAACCTTCAGAACATTCCCAGTTCTTGGATCAACAATCCTGACTTTCTTATCCTTGCACGAGGCCACGTATTTCCCACCATCCCAACTCCAGAATGCGCTAAGTGGCACCTCAGGAAAGCTAGTTTCACTGACTATATCACCAGTCCCAATGTTCCATATGTATACCTTGTTATCAGATCCTATACGTGTGTGTGTGTGTGTGTGTGTGTTGTATGCCATCATCATAATCATAATCATCAAGAACCAACCTCCGGAGAGCAAGATGTTCTGAGCAGTTGGATGCCAAACTACAAGACCAACACGCCTCTGGTGGGCCACCAAATCGACGATCGGCTCCTCCATGTTGGCCGTCAGTCCTGCATTTATTATGTTAATTAGATGGGGTGTGAAATAAATTATAATTAACATATGAAAAATTAGAGAAATTAATAAAATGTAGTTTTATAAGTGCAATAGTATTAGTATTATTGACAATCCCACAATCCTTTAAATAATTCTTAGAGGTATCAACAACACACACACGCACGCACATACACACAGTGCATTTAAATACATGTGAATCCACAAAAACAACACACATTGCATGCAATAAGCAGGGACCTGCTTGCATTCAATCCCAGTAAATGCAACAGCAGAGCCAGGCATTTTAACAACCTAGCAAATAAACTGGTAAGCAGTGTGTGTGTGTGTGTGTGTGTGTGTGTGTGTGTGTGTGTGTGTGTGTGTGTGTGTGTGTGTGTGTGTGTGTGTGTGTGTGTGTGTGTGTGTGTATACATACAAAACCCATAAGTTTTTGTATTGAGTGTATTTGTGTAGGATTCATTGATTGATAATTTTGGGATTCATGCAGTGATAATTTTTACTATGAATATATAATTGACTTTAATACTTAATTACAATACAACTCATATTAGGTGTAACCAACCAATTAGCAATCATTATTTCATTAAATTATATAATTAATTATGCTAATTATGTTTTCACCTCCTTCTGGAATTTGCCAAATTTTGACAGTGCAGTCCTCTGAGCCACTGGCAATGATTGAATCATCGTGGGGACACCATTGTAAATCCAAGACTGCAGCCTTGTGGCCGACAACCAGTGGGGCTTCTCTATCAACTCTGCCTACCTATGATTAGGAAAATTAGGGAGGGATGCTTGTTTTTTGTTAAATTAATTCAGAGTTTTGTCTATGCATATTTGTACATTATGTATTTGTGTGCTGATTTTTGGTATTAAAACTTTTAGATAGTTCTGTATATGATTCATTTATTTGTTAATTATTTCTATTTAAAATTTATTAAATAATCTAAATAAAATCAATAATATGCAAAAAAAGAACAAACTTTATCAAGAGGTAAAACGAGGAAGGCACCCCCGCCAGCTGCTTCGGTAATGACGGCCAGATACTTAGGATTTACAGAGCAGAAAGTGGAGTCCCAGGAACTTTTAGTGATTCTAATATTATCAAAACACTGATCCTTTTTTAAAGCCTGACCAAAAACATGCCTGAATTTACTCTGACGGACAACTCTTGAAACTCGATCGGCCATTTTGTTCAGTAAGGAATGGAAAATTTTAAAAGGCAAAAAATAGTTAATGAATTTTTTCTCAATAATTCAGTAATTAACAAATAATTAACTAATTTGTAATATTATGAATAAAATAAAGAACGATTAGTAAAGCAGAAGTTTACTCAGTACAGCAGTTGTTATAAGCTTAGTCTAGTAGTTACTTTTAGGGCATAGGCTGACACTGAAAACAGAAGAAGAGAACACGGATGTAGAGAACAGGAACTAAATAACGAATTGGCAGCTAAAGAATCAGAAATCGAAGAACGATTAAAAAGATTAACACCTGATGAATAGTTAAATAATTAAATAATTAATAAATTTTTTTTGGAAATTTTGCAAATTAGACAATTACAACAATTTTAATCAAACATAACTCAATAGCCTGAGTAAAAGTGAAGAGAACAAAATTTAGCAACTTGCGTAGTGATGGCAGTGCTAGATAGTAAAATATTAAAAACAAATTTTTTAAAAATTAGTTTAAAATGCTATAGTTTGTTTAATAAAAAATAAATAAAAAATTTGTATATAATAAATTTTTTTCAAAGTTTATTATTTTTAATAATGATTAAAAGTAAATTTTAATGCTTTTGACTAAAAGCAAACTTAACATTTCAACTTACGTTAATTTAAAACTTCTTGACAAACCACTTATTTTCGCAATGAATACGGGTTGTTTGATGAAAAATGGCTACCATAAAATATTACGAAGCTTTAAAAGGTAGCTCAAATGAATTTTATATTGTGTGTCATTTGCTTGTTATTTTGACTTTGAAAGCAACTCTTCACTGTCAATTTTAAATTCAATGGCACATACAGGTCAATGAAAATTTATACGAAAACTGGGGACAAAGGTGTTATTTTGACAATAAATTTTATTAAATTTCACATTTTTCAACGAATAAAATTTAATCTCACCAGTATTGCATATGTAATTTATCATTTAATTATTTAATTAAAATATTAAATCAGGTACCTCTGCAACATACACTGGTGAAAGAAGACCAAAAGATGATCAGATCTTCAATGCTCTGGGGGCCACTGACGAACTAAGCAGCCATATTGGGTTGCAGTTTTTTAATATTTCATTATTTATTTATTATCTTTGATATCTTTAATTTTTTAAATATGATTTACTTGTTAAATTTATAACTTGATTAATTTAAATTTCACTTCTTTATGTTTGGTTTAAGTCCATCTTTAATGTCTAATTCTAATATTTAACAGTTTAGCAAGAGAGCACTGTAGCAGTCGTTGTGCAGATCTCACTGAAAGATTAAAAATAGTAAATTATTATTATTGTATTTATAAATTAACTTTTTTTAATTTTTCACAAAACCACCATTTTTTTAAAATTTTTCCTTTTATTTTTTCATTTTGAAATTTATATGAATATTTATGTATTTTTTAATTATTTCCCATTTCGCACAACTCATTTCAAACATACAACCACACAGATCCAATGCATTCTTCAAGATGTTGGCTCATCAATTGCAACTCCAAAATCATCTGCCAAGGATAGGCACCTAAGTATGCCTGTCTATTTAAAATAGAGAACAAAATGTGGCCTCCGTTCTATATATCCTTATATTATTTTATATTTTTTTGGGCTCAGACAAATTGTTCACTTAGACAAATGGCTAAGCTAAGAAGATACTAAATAAGATTAGAAAAGATTGATGTTGTCATGTCTTGGTTTAAATTAATTTTTATAACTTATAGATAAGGCACGTTTATGGAAAGTTTTTTATTCTTGAAATATTTGTTTGAAAAATGTTTAAAATACATTGTACAATCATGATTTTAATTTTGTTACATTACCTTTGATCATTTAATTGTGGGAATAACGATATTTTCAACCATCTATTCGCCATTGTAGCATTATTTTAAATCAATTACCCATTAGAAAAAACAGAATTCAAGAAAGAACCAGTGGAAAATCTCGAAAAATGGATCGATGAATACATGGAAACTGTTCCACCTTTGAAAAGTTTTATACTGCCAGTAAGTTTTTTGGAAAATTTTGTAAAAAAATATTGTGAAAAATCGAAATTTTGAAATTTTCAGTCAGGTGGTTTGGCAAGTTGTCATTTACACATCGCAAGATCTGTCTGCAGGAGAGCTGAAAGAGAGTCTGTGTGTGTGTTTGTGTGTATATGTGCGTTTTTATGAGTATGTCTGTGTGTATATTTGTGGCTACATTCTTTTATAACGCTTGCTATTTGTCACATTGAAATTCAGAATCGTTCCCTTGGTAGCAAATGGCGAGATGGAAACTGAGCCGGCTGTCTTCGTCAACCGGTAAATGTTCAGCCAACCAGCCAACCAACCAACCAACCAATCAAACATTCAATCAGTCATTAGAGTGTGATGTACTTTTTAAGGATTGGCAAGCACATAACGCATGCACGTGCGTGCATAGTTGCAGAACGTTGCAGTATATTTTCAGCGTATTATGACGGAACATGCCTTAATCTCTGCGTTTGAACCAGTTCTCAGCGGGACCATTTTGGGCGAGACTATTTAGAATATTACATTCTTGAATATTAAGCTTCTTTTTTCTTTTATAAAATTTAGCCTGAGTGATTTTCTGTTCGCGGCGGCTCGATACTGCTCGTACAAAGATGGCGTCCCGGAAGCCATATACAAACGCACGACAGGAGAAATTGACCACCGCCTGACACGATCCAGCACTTCCTCCAAAGAAAACTAATAATCCGGCATAGGTTAAAAAACTGGATTTTCTATGTCTATACAACTCAGCATAGATATGGGAACACTATATTTTATATCTATGCAATTCAGTTTTCAATTTTTTTAATTTGCAAATTAGTGAAAAGCTAGTTTATTCAGTTGTTTATTTAGTTTCTTTCGTTGCATAAAAAATTAATGTCAATCATTTAATTATTGTTGAAATAAGATGAAATATATGAAAAAAAGTGACTTCAAAAAAGCATTAAAAACCTAAAATTGGTTTCTCTATGATAAAAATGAGATGAGTAAATAAATCAAGTCAATAGGTAACTATGTAAACAACATTAATGTGAATGCATTAAGGATGTCACTCTAAACACCATAATAATATCTATTTACCGTGTGTGTGTGTGTATGTGTGTGTGTGTGTGTGCAAATCACGTGTGTTTGTAACAGAATGAAATGCTGAAACATAATATAAGCATAACAAATTTAAATTTAAATGCTGGTTGAGAATTGCATTTGAAAATAATATCGATGAGCGTGTTTATGTGTGTGTGCGCGCGCGCGCGTGTGTGCGTGTATGTATGTCTAAATTAATTATCATTCACATAGACTTGAATTTTAAATAAAAAAATTAACAAAAAGATAATTAAAAAAAGAAAAAACCCATCTGTACAAATATCGAAATCTAATATAAGCTTTTTTTGTTGTACAAATTTGCATAAATTTACACCAGCGAAGTATGAATACAAAAAGAGAATTTATCAGTATAAGCCAAGAATTTGAGCAAACAATAACAAAATGAAAACTTTTAAAAAAGAACAATTAAAAATCGTTTAATACCGCGTATAACCCACCGACAACATCACGTATACTATACATGCATGGTATACACCAGGTGTGAGCAAGCTATGGTCCGCGGAGCTATTTTACGCGGCCCGTGAGGCCTTGTTCGCCCAAAAAAGGTCCTCAGCCAGACATTATTACCAAAACAGAACCAAAAATCTTAAAAAATTCTACCCTCCGGGTCGAAAAAATCTGCTGTTTAATTACATATGTGGCCCATCAAAGATAAAATAGTTCTCAATATATATATTTATAATATATATATTTATAACTGTTATTTAAAAGCTAAAAATAAAAATGTTAAAAGACAGTTTATCATGAAAAAAGCGATTGAAGCATATTATTGCAATGGCGAACCGACAGGTCAAAACTAAAATACACACACGCACACATACATACATATGTATATATATATATATACACGCATATATATACATATATATATAATTAGAAAAACAGATCAACCAATTATATTATACTGTTATCGATAGTAATACAACCTCACAAAAACAACCAATTACAACTTTAACCAAGTACACAAAGGTTACATAGTCATTTCTCCCTCCCCCCCCCCCTCTCTCTTTCTATATATATATATATATATATATATATATATATATATATATATATATATATATATATATATTATTACTATAATAAAATATAATTGTTCGGTTGAATATGGAATAATGGTAAGCAGGTGAACGGTCAATATATGCTGGCAGTAAGTAATCTTATCAGGGTAGGGAATCGTCGTCATCACTACCCCTTGATCATCATAATCAGCACCATCATCGACACCGTCGTGAGATCATCATCATAACCAGCATCATTATCAACACCATCGTGACGATCACTATCAACACCATCGCGACGACCATCATCATCACCACCACCATCATTATCATCATTTAATGTGGTTGTTGGAAGACAGTAGCCTTCTCCTTGAAGGCAGCCTTCCTCTGCTTCTTCTCTTCTTCCTGCTTTCTTTTTTCTTCCTGCTCTTCTTTGATCTCTCGTTCAAATTTGCTCTCTGCTACTACCTCGTTTATCTGGATGGATGAATGATGGATGGATAGATAGATGGATGGATAGGTAGATAGATGGATGGATAAATGAATGGATGGATGGATGAATAAACAAACGAATGATGAATGAGTGATGAATAGATAATGCATTGAATGAATGACGAATGAGTGATGAATGGATAGATGATGGAATGAATAAGAAATAAAAGAAACGGATGAATGACAAAGGGACACTGTGATTGAAAAAGAATAACTGAACAGATAACTTTAAAATTGAAAGTGGCTATGACGAGGATGATGACGACGATGATGAAAGTTTTATAGTTGATGATGGTAATGAAAGATTCTATGGATGGTGATGATTTGAGATGATGACGACTACAACGACGATGATGAAATTTTTATAGTTGATGATGACCTTGATCTCAATCAATTTTTTTTTCACTTACCTTTGCCTCAAAAAAATTCTTGGCACCTTTTACACCCTCTTTGTCTACATCAATCTCGGTTACAAACCTAAAATAATGATAATAATAATAATAATAACAACAAAAAAAATAATAATAATAATAATGCAATAATAATAATAAAAGACCGACTTGAATATCTCATTGAGACCAGAACTCTGGAGTTCTCCTAGTGAGGCCTTTCTGAATATGAGGAGAAACTGTGTGATGTGTATTGTGGTTATTATTATTATTCATAATTAATCATAATTTATCATAATCAGTTACAAATCTGTCATAATAAATAAATAAATAAATAATGATAATAATGTTAGTACGTTTGCTGGGAAGGCAAAATGTCTTGGGAGTGTGTAATGAAATTGAGAAAAAAATAAAATTTCTTCAAAATAATTTTGACACTCAGCGTATGTAGAAATATAAAACAAGAATAATAATAAATAATAATAAAAGCAATAACTTGATTTAAAACGATCATATAGAGAGATATTTAAACAAAAAAAATTAAATAAGAAAAAAGACAACGAATAATAAATAACCCCAAAAATCACTAACTTCTCTGAAGCTAATTTTCCCATCAAAATCCTCATCAACCTCCTTGATCATCTCCTTCAGGCCGAGATGGGTCTGGGGTACGCCTAATTTCTCCATCATGTGCTTAAGCTCTTGTAGGTCGATAAACTTATCTTTACCAGTGTCATATCTGTAAAATTTGGATTTTTATCAGATATATAATCATAATAATAATAATGAAGGATATTAATAACAAGAATAACAATAAAAAAGAACAATAATATTGATGAGAGATGCTTAGAAGTTTGGCAAATGAGGATAATATTTAATTTAAGTAGTTTTGCACGTGTGAGGACTGCATAACAAAGAAAAAAATTAAAAAGGTATAAAGAGATAATGAATATTAAAATAAAAACACGAAAAAAAATGAATGAATTTGAAGAAAAATGTAATTCAAAAAAAAATTATTATCCTCTAGACCTACTGGTTGAACATTTTTTGGTAATGTTGGATCTGCTTTCTTGAAAATTCTTTGAATTCGGTGTATGGGTTGAAGACCTCTTTTGAATGGAGATTTGGCGCTGGCAAGTCCTTTCCTTTAAAAAAAAATTCATTTTTTATTGTTGTTGGCAAAAAAATTCATTCATAAGCATTATATGATTAGCAACACCATACAATATACAAGAAGATTTAGTTGATGAAAAGTTTATAAACTACTTGATTGATTGATTGATGTATATGATACTGTTTGTGTATGTTAGTGTGTATTTACGTCTATATTTTTTTGGTGAACATTAGGTTAAGCCATCCACTCTAAACCTCACATACCTTGCTCCGCAATTTCAATCCTTTCAGTTCTTTTCTGAAGCTTTGAGGAGAGTTCATTGTCGGCCATTTTGAATCTATTTATTATTACTATTATTATTATTATTATTTTAATTATAAATATTTAATTTATTACTATTTTAAGTGACTTATAATATTCTTGCATGCAAAGTAAAGAGTTGTGAAGAGGAGCTTACAGAAATTTTACATTCATTTATTTATTCATTCGGTACATTATTATCCTTATTGTTATTATTATTATTATAACTTTTATCAATTAAATTTTGTCCAGTTAATTCTGACTGACTGACTGTGTGTCTGTCTGATTTGAGGTCTTTGCTTTCTTTATTTTATATTTCATTCAAGTTCCCTGTGTTGAATTAATTAATTAATTCATTAAGAAAGTTAATTAAAGTAACTGTTTTTTCAATAATTAAATAATCAATTAAAGAGATTTCATTCAATTTCTTCATCTTTTTAAATTGAATTCAATCAACCAATCCTAAATTTAATCAATCAAACTTAATTAATTGCTTAATTTAATTAACTACATCAATTAAAACCAAGTATATGAAAAAATTCTCCATTTATTTATTCATTTATCTGTAAATTGAAACATAATAAAATAAAGATAATTATTTTAAAAATTTAAATAGGAACCAATATATTCATTCAGTTCAGTCACTTTCATAATAATAATCACATCTCTTGACAATAGGATGTAGAAAATATTTATATATACATGCTCCTACACATATATTTATATCTGTGTATGTATGCATGGCTACACGCACATGTGTGTGTGTATGCGTGTGTGTATGCGTGTGTTTATATATATATATGTAGAGTTTATATAGCGCTCGTTCAAGTTCTCACAAACCTTTATCCCACAAGTGCGCTTTGATTCTTTTTCTAAAAATCACTTCATCAATCTCATTTGTTTTCAGCTCTGTTGGCAAATCATTCCACATCTTTGGGCCATACACTGCAAAACTTCTTGACGCCATTGATGAGTTTACCAACGGTTTCTGAAAATCATTGTTTTTGGAAGATCTTAAGAATCTACCCGCCACTGTTATTGGTGTTTTTTTGCACAGATCCATTAGATATTTCGGAGCCGAACCTTGCATACATCGTTTCATCATCACCAAAACTTTGAAAACGATTCTGCTTTCAATTGGCAGCCAATGTAATTCACGAAAAATTGGGGTCACATGGTCATATTTTTTTCCTTGTACTATAAGCTTCGCTGCCCTGTTTTGTATTGATTTTATCCCATGTATTGTTGACTTCGGACATCCGCTCAGCAAACTGTTGCAATAATCAACCCGACTGACCACAAACGCATGGATCAGAGATTTTGTTGTATCCAGATCAAGAGAGGCTCTTATGCGGCCAAGCTGTCGAAGCTGAAATGAACAGTCCCTAACGAGGTTATTCACATGCTGATGCATATTCAGTGTACTGTCCAACCAGAAACCCAAATTTTTCACCACACCAGTGAACGGCACCATCACAGACCCAAATCTTATGCTCTTTACATCAGTTCTCGAGAGCTGTTGTTTAGTTCCAATCAACATTACCTGTGTTTTTTCTTCATTTAATTTTAGTCTGTACGAACCCAACCAATTCTTTAGGCACATTATTTTCTCTGAGACAAGTTCAACCATTTCCCCCACCGTGTTTAAGTGTATGTGTGTGTGTGCGCGCGCGCATGTGTGTGTGTGTGTGGCAGATAGGATAATGATTAAATAATTACATATAGCAAAAACAAGATGTGTCAGTCCTTTTATACATTACTGCATTGTACTAATGTATACTACCACTACAGACCTGCATGTGTGTGTGCGTGTGTGTTTGTGTATGTGTGTTGTATGCGCGTGTTTGTGCGCGTGCGTGTATGCAAATAAACCTGTTATATCCACATGCTACAAACATGTTATACTTATTAGTCATTGTCAAAATATTTCATTGTTTTTCAGAAACAATTATTCATCTATACTACTCTTAATAATATATCTATACATACTGTTAACTAGCATTTTAGTGAAATATTTTTCTAAGCTCTTTGGCCATTATAAATTGTAGTTAGAGTATAAAATACATATACAACAACCACCCTTCCACAAAACAAACCAACACTTACACAGTATGTGTGTGTGTGCGCGCGTGTTGCGCACAATACGCATAAACACATAAACATACCTTTGTATAAAAGGAAGCTATTCTATTGCAACTTTTACAACTATTTACAGTTATTTATAATAGGTCGAAACAGGATGCAAAGATCACAGTGTGTGTATACACACTACACATACATAATTGTACAGTGTGCTGCATGCATGTTTTTGTACAGTTTGAGTAAGTTTTAAAGGTATACATCTGTATTTTGTATACAGTACACCATATATACATCTAATTAAATAATACACACACACACACACACACACACACACATATATATATATTATATATATATATATTATATATATATATATATATATATATATATACATACATACATTTCCTGTTAAGTGTTCAGTTCTACAAATTAAAGTAATGTTATCTCTAAATCTTGACTTAATGGGCTTTAAAATAAACATACTTAAAGCTTAACTGTAGTTTTAGGAAGGTTATTAATGGTTATTTGCTTGCTTGATTGATGGATGCACACACATACACATACACACACCCACAAGCACACATACAACACACACACAGATACACAACCAGAACATAACAAACTCAAAAACACAGTACAAAATATAAAATCAATCAGTCCTCCTTTATTTTATAGTCTCTATCCTTTATGGGTCAGACTAATAAAAAATATAAAACATATATATATATATATATATATATATATATATGTTTTATATATTGGCAACGGTTACTTAATAGTAAATTATTACTGAAAATAGAAAATTTACAACTTACATTACATGTTAATTGAATTTATTTTCCAATTTTCTTTTCTGATTCATCTCAAATTTTGAGATTTTTCACGCTATCAGGCTCATCTATCTTATTATTTATTTATTTTACATAATATTCATTATAATAATTATTGCATTTACATTCAGATTAAAATAATATTCTAACTGGTTTGAGGAAGTTTGATTGAATGGCAATGCCATTAACGTTAATATAATTATTTATTGAATAAAATTTATTTAGTTATCCATTTATTATTGTTTAATGCCTGAATTTTCGTGCAAACTTTTTTAGACAAAAATTAGTGTTTTGCGCTTTTTCTGTTTTTATAAAAATAAATTTTTGGCATTTACATTCGTCAACGTTACTTGTCTCTAGACGTCACTAAAATTTAAAAGTTAATTTAATTTAAATTTATTTAAAAAAAGAAAAACCGTTTTGAACCACCACTTTTTTGATGTAAAATACTCAGAACGAGATAAAATAAAATCAGACTTAAATTCACGAAAAATAGTCTAAAAACAATAAAATGAAAAAAAAACATTATTCACTATGATCATCACAAAACGACGATATCATCCTTTTGACATCTCCAAGATCAGGATAGCGTCCCATCAGACTGCTATCATACCAGGATACTATCACATCAACATACCATCATCATATTAGGATACTATCATATCTTCAATGCTATCAAAATCCACCTCATCTGGTAGTGGAACATCGGAGGGGCAGATGAAACCTCGAAAGGCAGATTTTGTATCACTGTATGGAAAAATGTCATCAATTAATCAATCAATTAACTAATTAATTAATCAATTAATCAGTTTTAACAATGAATAAATGTTTCTAAGAGTAATTACACACGCACCTCTCTTTTATATACATAAAGACTGTAAAAACAACATCATTTATAAGACATTACAGTAAAAAGTATCTTATTATAACATCCCAAATATCTAAATGAGTTTCTCTCACTAATATACAGAAACATTGTAACAAATACTTTATTAATAAAACAAATTTGAAATAAAAGATATCATACACTGGTAGTAGGAGTATACGAAATTAAATGGACAAAGATACAAAAACGTGCCAAAGATACGCAAAAAAACACGCGCAGATAAATGAACCAAAACGTAGAACCTTACAAAAATTAATGAAGAAAGATGGATAATAATTTACTTTGGGTTTAAATCGTAGTCAATGTCATCCAGATCAATGTCAAAGCTGTAGTCATTTGTGACACCCTTTGATGCCAGAAATTTTTTACCACCAGCACCACCATCGATATTCTCTTCACCATTCCTTTTCTCATTTGCTGAAGTCTTTGCATTATTTTCAGTCTTTGAATTTTCGAGGTAGCCTTTGATCTCGTTGAAGACGTCACTTCCTGGAGCTTTCCACAAAACAAGCTGCAATCCTGGCTTCACTCTAAAAAAAACACAAAATAAAAAAAGATTAATTTCAAATGTACTCAATTTTTGACTTCTAAAAATCAAATGATGAAATCTCTTTTTAAAACGTGATATAAACAGGTAAAATGATGTAATTGTTTAAGAGTTTGGTTCTGCTGATGCAGTGGCCAGATTCGAATAAAAAAAAAGATTCCCTCCTACGACATGCAATGTGTCTGATACCCTAATTCAAGCATGTATTTGCATGTGATGTGCGTGCATGTGCCCGTTGTTGATACCTTCGAGGAATAACCAGGGTCCCAAAGCCAATGACACTAACAGAAAAACTTCATTTAAAAATTATTTTTGTAAAACTCCTAGCATTACAATGTAGATAATAATAACAACAGTAGACACATATGCACATTTTACAGTATAAATTACATATTTTTTATAAAATAAATTGTAACAATAAGCCCAAAAAATTGTAAATGATATGTATAAAAAACGGTTTATTCTCTAATTCCCTAACATTTCATCAACAACAGCTTTAGGCAAGATATCATTCTTCTTAAAGTCAAGCTTCATGTCGCTGAGAAATTCCAACCTGGCACCTTTTGCAGCAGCCTCCTCTGAGAGATTTCTATTTTTAGGACAATAAAAATAATATAAATAATAAATAGTAAAAATAACAACAACAATGACAACAACAATAATAATAATAATAATAACAATCACACACCTAATTCGATTGACCTCTTCCATTGCGAACCAGGCAGATTCAAAATCAGAGCCACTGCTACTATTGCCACCAGAACAATTATTATTATTACTTTTATAACAATTATTGTTGTTATTAATATTATTACTGAAATCACTTTCACCCATATCACTATAATCATAATAGTTATTATTATTACTATTATTGTTATTATAGTAACTAATATTATTATCATTATTATTATTATTATTATTACAGAAATTATTATTATTTTTGTTGTTTAGGTTGAGGTCGTTCATGCAGGCAGACATTTTTTCCTCATTTACTCGAACTTTACACGGGACAGGAGAGCTGGAGTCGGGTTGAAATAAAAATTACAATTATTATAGTTAAAATAATTATAGTTAATTATATTGTAATTATTAATATAATTATCATTTTAATTATTAACATCACCATTGTGATGTAGTATGATATTTCATAGGACCAAAGCAAGCATTGTAATATGAACTAGATGAAAATAAAATAATGATGGTAATATTAGCAACTAGTCACAGCATTCAATAGAAGTAATAATAAAATAAATAATAAAAATTGTAAAAAATAATACAAAAATAATAATTTATGATAAATAAAATCTAGCAAAACATACTCTGGATCATCGGACTTTCGTTTGGCATTCATCTGAGAAAGCATCCTTGCCCTGTGATAAATAAAAAAATATAAATTAATTCTGAAAAATTAGCATAGTAGAATTTTTAAATATTTTAGTAGGGAACTATTAAATAATAAATATTAAAATAAAAAAATATAAGAATGATAATATAATAAGAAAAGTAAAAAACAATATGAAATTGTAACCAAAGCATACACATCATTTGGTCTTTTCATTACAGTTCCTAACAAAGAATTAGGATCAACAACGTTGTTCCTTATGCCTTGGTTGCCAATGGAGCCCCTATGAAACTGAAAAAAATTATTATTGACGTTGTTGCAAACATTAACTACACCATTTCTGTCATTACGATCACAATTTAAAATGTCTGGTCGTGTGTAGTTGTGGCTGTTTAGTTGCTGTATAAATTGTTGTTCTTCATGTTGTAGTTGTGATAAAGTGGAATTCACACAATTCTGCAGAAAGTTCTCATTAACGACATCCGGCCCTTTATCAACAGCAACAGGGTGGTGAATAAAATATTCCTGTATGCCGGATGGAGTCGATTGTAAGAATTTTATAGTAGCAGTGTTGTTGGTGTTGGCATTGTTAGAAATAGTGTTACCATGAGATGTGATGCTGTCGTGGAACGGACTTGCACTCGGCGGAAACAAAATTTTATTCGATTGAAACATTATTTTTCATAAAAATAATATTCTATTCCAGATTTTTCGAATGCAACTTTAAATTTAATAGAAATCTTAGCTTTTTGTTATATTAACGGCCAAACTACCAAGCCGAAGGTACACTAAAGCGAAACTTCCAGAAAATTCTAATTGTTTCTCATTAGTATGGGAAGCTGAACCATGGAATGGAATAAATTGAAATTTGGTGCGTGTTCAGAATTACATTAATGACATGAATATATAGGATATAAATGTTATATATTGTTGATTTTCAATAAATCGCCCTCCAAATCCCCTTCAAAAGTAACCTCCTAGTAAGTAAATCAAAATGAAATGGCAAGGTACTCTCTCTCTCTTTCTCTCTCTCTCTCTCTCTCTCTCTCTCTCTCTCTCTCTCTCTCTCTCTAAGTAGTATATGTGCTAAACCAACGATCTTGTTGATAGTTAAATCAGTGCATCAATGTAGTTGAATTTACTGTCAATTTTTTTTATTGTCATCAGTTGTAATGTTTATGTAATGGTTTAATCAACTCTTCGTGCACTGTTTGTGCTGTTTCAAAACTGTAAGTAATTAAGATTTGATAATCAAGCTAAGACGATAGTGTATTAGACCATTAAAACATTTGTCATTAAAATTTATAAATAAATTTGATACATCTTATCTCAGCAAGGTATTACATTACAGTTTGTCATAACACAAAACAAAGAAAAACTTTGGCCAGTCAAAAATCAAAAGGTGTCTGTTTTTAACGTAAACATTTGCAAGTCATTATATTGTGAACTTAACACATTTATAACTCATTTATATGAGATATAAGAATTCAATTAATGCAATAGTCATATTCTTATAACATGCATGATACATGGGTGACACTTGTGTATATATTACATATGACATATTACACATGACACATTACGTATAAATAGCAAAGCTTATTAACTTTTCATTCACTTTTCACGTTTAAAGCCCATCGTAGCCATCTTGCTTGACGTCTATTATTGATTTAAGATTTTAAATTCAAACGCAAATGATCAACGAGGTGGAAGGCGGTGACCAACACGAGGAAGGAAATGAGATGACCAAAAATTATTTCCACGATGTCTTCAGTCCTTTCAACGCGATTCTTCTCGGATTATGCGCCTATCTTCTGTACAAAATAATCAAAAGGAGTATGCAAGACGAAGAGTACGTTCCTAGCGCTCCCCAACAAATGCTAACTCCTATGAAAAAACGAGATTTCACTCTCGACGAGTTACGGAAATTCGACGGGAAACAAGAAGATGGTCGTATCTTAATGGCCGTCAATGGAACTGTGTTTGATGTCACAAGAGGCAAACGATTTTACGGAGAAGGTGATCATTTTATTTTATAAAGTTTTTTCTAATTTTTTTATTCTTTATTTAGCATCGGCTTTTTAAACTGTACTTAAATATTTTCTGTGCATCTAAAACAAAGTTTACAACATCCTTAAAAGACAAAAGTTAATTCAGATTAATTTTTTATTATTAAATAAGATCTAAATTTAAACATCAGGAGGTGCTTACAGTGTATTTGCAGGTAGAGATGCTTCAAGAGGATTAGGAACAATGTGTCTTGAAGAGAATGCCCTGAAGAATGAATATGATGACCTCAGTGACCTCTCAGCTGGTGAACTAGACATCATAAGAGATTGGGAGAGCAGTTTCTCAGAAAAGTTGTATCAATATCTTTTTTCATTAATTAAATTTTCCATCTAAGAAATCCAAAATTGAAAAATTAGCTGTTCTTTTTCTTTTAGTACTGAGGTTTCTCTAAGGCTTTAAGCCATTTAAAACTGAATCATGATCTATCTTATTATTTCGATTGAGTTAAGTAGCATAATTTTTGAATCTCAGGTATGATATAGTCGGAAAGTTGATAAAGGATGGAGACGAGCATGGCACTTACGATGACGAAGATGAAATTGTTGGAGATGTTGTTCCAGATTCCAACAAGAAAACTGATTGACCAAATTTTGCTTTTGTTACTAATAATAGAACAAAAAAACCAGATTGTTTCAACAAATTTCACAATTTTAATCAAATGTTTTTTTCTCAAAACTAAAGTTCATATATATATATATATATATATATATATATATATATATATATAATATATATTTGTGTGCGCGTGCGTACATGCACAATTACCAAATTCAACCATTCTAAACAATTCCTTAACAACAGGTATGTACATACAAAATAATGACTTTAAATGTACAAGAAATAACAATGATCAAATGTTTATTTTATATTCAGAATACATTTAAATTTTTTTTCTTCCTTGTTTATATCAATAAGTAGAGAGGTCAATTGGTCAAGGGTTTAAAGGTCAATTGACCAAGAGGTCAACTGATAGACAGAGTCGATAATAATTTTCTATAACTTTGTTGGTGACACCTTTAAAAAATATAAAGAAGTTTTTATTTAATAGTATTTTATAGCATTATTATATAATTACATAAAATTATTGCCCTATTGTTTTTCTAATTCTTGTTTAATTTTAGAAGGTACATTACATTTATTTATTTTTTAACAGATAATTTTAAACGTAATTCGCTATTAAAAACGTTACAAGACTACAACAGAATGCTACGCTTTAATATTTTTAAAAACATAAATGTGATATTGGACAAATAAATGTTTCATCTATCTTACAATCTCCGGAGTGTCTTCTTTTCCATCACCACAGGACTCCAGGTTCTCTTCTGGCACCAACTTGGGACCTTCCGCCATTTTCTAATAATAATAATAACAACAATAATTATTATAATTATTATTTGTAATTATTATGAAATTACTGTTAATTTCTATTTCAATTTTTAAGGACGTGATTATCATTAGTGTCGTTGTTAATATTGTTGATTTGATTAGTGTTATTATTATTATCATCGTGGGGCCAACCTGTAATGTTATACTGATCAAAGGACTGGTCTGCTTAGTAACATCACTGCTACTACTGCTATCTTCCGCAACTTTCTGCTTAAAAAGGTAATATTAATAATAGTATTATAAATAATCATAATAAATAACAATTATTTTTGCGCATATTAGCGGTAGATTATTGAATTATCATGTAAAAAATACACATCTGATACAATCACGTGTTAAGCAAAGATGTTGAGCATTTGGTAAAACGTCATTCCTGATATAAGATGACTCACTATAATTTTTTGTCTTCATAAATAAATTAATTAGGTTAGGTGCAAGTGTGTTAACATTTCAATTAGGCCAGACCGCAAGTATAACTTCTTAATCTGGTCAGGCTACATGTAGCACATCTTAATTAGGCTAGGTCACAAATTATCACATCTCAATGGAGTCAGATTACAAATAACTATCTAAGTCAGATTACAGAATAATTATATCCTAATTGATTAAGCCAACCAACATGATCATCGGCGTTCAAATTGACCGCTTGTTCGTCTTTGATCTCTAGGCCACTGGCACCACCAACACTATCTTCACTAACAAATTTCTTAGCTTCGACATCACTATTAACATTAGGTTGTGTAGATAAGGTAACGACGGTGGGTTTTTCTAAGGGTTTTTCAATGAGTGACATCACTGATTTAGGGATGTGCGCTCGCTGGTGAGGATTAAATGACATGATGTGACTGAGGAGGGCCTCTCGAAGATCTGGGCAGATGGTGAAGGAGTCTTTCAGTTGAGCTGGTTGCAGCTGTAGGAGGATCTGGAATAGAAGATTTTCAAAATGAAAAAATCTGATAACATAAAACTGAGATTAATTTAAAAAAAAAAACTTGACTGATCAATCTACCAACAATCTAACAGTCTACTAAATCTAAATCTACTAACTGACAACTCAAGGTTAAATATTTTAGATTTATATTACAAAGAAACTGATCAATCGAGCAATCACAAACCTGAAACGACTGAGGCTTGGTCCTCTGGCAGCACCTCACAAAGCCCTCCCAAACTTTCTTGTTCTTCCAAACCTGCTCACAAAATTAATAAAAATAATTATAATACTACTAATAATAAAGATAATAATAATAATAGAGATAATTTTTTGTTAACCATAATTATTATTACAAAAATAATAATAACGGTTATTATTATGAATAAAATAACAATTTTAATATTAATAGATCATGGAATTTAACAAATTAAACGAACAAAAACTAAATTACATTTGCTTGTACTCAAGAAATAAAAAAAAACAATTAGGCATCAATAAACCAATCAATCAACCAACCAACCAGCCAACTAATCAATTAATCAATCAATTAATCAATCAATCAATCAATTAACCAAAAACCAACCAACCTGTTTAGTTAGCAACCTTTGCATGATATTGATAACGAAACCAGTTAGCCTGGGGTAAGTAGCCAGGGCCTGAATGACCGTCCTCATGATAAGCGTCGGTAGGGGGTTCAAATCCAGGAGCTGCTGGATGACCAGGGCTAAGGTGTCTTGGGTGTAGACAGAGCGTTCAGCGAAGCATAGGTTGCATGCTGTGTAGTGTAGTATTTGAAAAGTTTAGGATATTAAAACATTACAATGTGAAAATTAGAAATAGCCTCGTAGTTTATAAGTTTAAACAGATGCATGTACGTGTGTAGGTTTGTGTGTGCGTGAATGTATGTGTGTGTGTGTTTTAGCAAGCATGCCAGCGTATCACATTACTTTATACTTTATGTATAAATGTTGCAAACCCAATGCACCAGCACCAAACATGACGAATGCGTTAAGCAAATAAAATCTACAAACAGCAGGTATACCTTTGATGATAGTTTTCATATCGACCTTATTGGAATCCAGCGTATGTAAGGTCACCAAGAGTTCAATTGGGTTCAGGGAATTTCCCATGTTCTCTTGGCCTGTGCGTACGTATAAATAAATAAATTAATTAATTAATAAATTAATAAATATTTGTATGCGTGCACGTGTAATGCTCATTTGGTGAATAAATAAAAAATGAAATCAATCAAGCTAACACTCATTCAGTTGGTGGCTTTGAAGACAAGCAACGTTCGAAACATCGGAACAAAAGTAAACATAAACAGATCTATACATTGGCTAGTTAGAAGTTCTACAACAGATCAGTAATCAATGCTATTTAAAAATACCGAGAGATGGTATTCATCTCCGAGCTTATAACTTATACATACATACATGCATGCATACATACATACATACATACATACATGCATACATACGTACCTACGTACACACATACATACATACACACAAAAACAAACAAATACCATTAACTCCCAGCAGACGATTAAACACTTCTTTGACTACAACGGGGTTGAGTTTGATCAGTCTTGGTAGTGCTGTTACTACTTCACTCTGTTTAAGTGTTTGTTTGTATGTGTGTGTGTGTGTGTGCACGTTAAAGGCGCGCAGTCGTTCCTATGTGCTGTGCTTAATTATGTAGCCAACGAAAAAATTAATAAATAAATGAACAAATTAGTTAATAAAAAATAACTATGAACAAATCAATCGATCAATAAATCAAACAATTAATTGATCAACTAATTAGTAACTTAGCTCAATCAATCAATCAATCAATCAATCAATCAATCAATCAATCAATCAATCAATCAATCAATCAATCAATCAATCAATCAGTTAAACATTCAAACCAACCGACCTTGGATAAACCGTTGAGGACAGGTATAAGGAACCTGACATCTGATACTCTTTTATTGTACAAATCTCTCACTCTATCCACTAATTCTACTGACGGCATGGCTAAATGAATGAATAAATTAATTAATTAAATGATAGATTAGTAAATGAATGAATATGTATGTATGAATAAATGAATGAATGAACGAACGAACACACAATTGTTTGTAAATGATAAACTATACATCTAAATTCATGTACTTCACTCATTTATTCATTCACTCAATCACACATAAAATCACATCAAAACTATTACAGACCCTTATCAGTGAGTATATGAATGACTCTGGTCACTAATGTCTCCGCCCCCTTCGGACAGTTTTCAACCAATAGCAAGAGTTCTGGTGAATCCATACCCATGCCTTTCACCTAGATAGCAAAAGAAAACAATGTGATTGGTTGAATTTTTAAAAGTACCAATATGATTTTGTTACATTTTGTATAACTAGTTGAATTTTTATACATAGCGAAGCAGGTTTTTTAAAAAGCAGTGGTACCATTGGTCACATTTTTAAAGGGTATCATTATAGATCATTCATTTAATAAAGCGTGCAGGCACAAAAATAAAAAAATAATACAAAACGTACTATTCAAAACATACAAAAAGAAAAACAATACAATACAAAACATACAATAACAACTCAATAAAATACAAAACGTACAGGTCCCTCCAACACTCTCAAAATAGTCCTCTTTATCTCACTACTGGATGCAGTATAGATGCTGGCTAGCTGATGGATGAGTTGATGCTCGGAAGGAAGTAAGGTGAGATAGAGATAAAGCGAGAGGCGGATTGATTCTTCAGTCCATTGGTTAGTTGCTGTTGGGTCTAAATGGTTATTATTATTATTATTGCTATTATGATTATTATTGTTATTATTATCATTATCATCATCAACAACTGACCGTTGTTAGTGGTGGCATCCAATTTTATGAGATCCGGGGGAGGAGTGGGCATTAGTAGCGCTTTCAGCCTCATCAATGCTCTCTCCTAATCAATCAATCAATCAATCAATCAATCAATCAATCCATTAATCAATCATCATTCAGTTAATCAATCAAACAAACAATCAACAAACTTCAATTCGATCCTTAAGATCAGCTTTCTCATAGAGGTTCTTTGCTGTTCTTATGGCGTTTTGTCTCAGCTAGGAATGAATGAATGAATGAATGAATGAATGAATGAATGAATGAATGAATGAATGAATAAATAAATGTATAATTGATTGATTGAACAAACAAATGAATAAGAATGAACGAACGAGTGAACGGATGAACAAATTGATGGAAAAATAGACTACTGCAGGTATGTTTGCTTGCATGTGTTTAAATGAAATCATCATACAACGAAAGAAAACAGGTTTACCAGCATCCAATCAATCACTAACCAATCAACCACTAATCAATCAACTGCTAATCAATCAATCACTAATCAATCAATCACTAATCAATCAATCACTAATCAATCAATCACTAATCAATCAATCACTAATTAATCAATCAATCAATCAACCAGCCAGCCAATCAAACAAACCTCAGTTTTCTCATGGACAGTCAAATCAAGCAGAACGTCGAGAACTTGAAACTTCACACACGGCCTCTTAACAATCATCTCCTTTAATATCGTCATACCAAGGTATATCTGATTCTTTGGTAATTTATTATCATTGTTATAATTATTAATCATAATTATAATATTATATAATTATATAATAATAATAACTAATAGTTGCGTTATTATTTTTAAAAACAAAACTTTCACAGGTATAAACAGCAAACACACACAAGCAGACCAGCGTATGTATATTATATACACACATAAATCAACGCATTGCACGTGATAGGCAGAGATCTGTTAGCATTCGAACCCGGTAACTGAAGCATCAGTGACCGGGCACTTTTACCACTACACCATCGCCCAGCCATCATTACTGTTAGGATTATCAACAGGACTAACCTCACTGATGCAGTACTCCTTGAGGGCTTGTATGATTGGTGGAGTCAGCATGGGTACGTCTAATATCAGGTGCCTGAATAAGCTGGTTTTGATGGTGTCGACGACGATGATGATGTGATGCTGATTATGATGGTGATCCGATGATTATGATGGTGTTTAAGATTTTAAAACACTTTGGATGGAAATGCTTTTGAGTTAAAAAAAATCATTCTTCAATGCGTGAATTTGATTTTGAATTGAAATTTAATAAACACAAGATTTTACCTAACTCTGTATATAGAAAACACACAAGCATACAAACAAACAAAGGAACGAACAACAAACAAACAAACAAACATACAAACGAACCTTTCTTTCTGATCCTGCCTCTCTAGCATTCCATTCAACAGCAACAAAACGCACTCTTCATACAGCCTCAACATCTCATTTTTATTAATATTGTTGTTGTTATTATTTTTGCTGTTGTTGGCGTTGCTGTCTTGGTAGTTGTTGTACAGTTGGTAGATCCACTGAGTTGCTAGGTGTCTGTTGTTCCGCGCGTCGGTGAATATGTGCTTCAAGAGAGCTGCATGTATTAGTGTGTTCGTTTGTCTATAGTCTAGCCATTCATTCACTTATTCGTTCACTCCCTTATTCATTCATTCGTTCATTCATTCATTCACTCATTCATTCAATCACTCATTTACTCATTCATCCGTTCACTCACCATCTCTTAGTTCTCCAGCGTAGCGTGAGGCCAGGTTGATGATGATGTTCCACGTATTTTCATCTGACCCATTTGATTGTGCATGTTCTGAATGAATGAATGAATGAATGAATGAAGGAATGTACGTAAGAATGTATGAACGAACGAACAAAAAAATGAACCAACCAACCAAACCAACCAACAAACCAACAAAACCAACCTATCAGTCTTGCAACCATCTTCTGCATAAGTGCCTCCTTCTCAGGTAGCATCATTGGCTTCGTAACTGATTCCAGTCTAAACTGCACAATACCCTTTCGAGCTGGCTGTACCTAAATAAATACAAATAGCAATTATAATACGTACCATTACATATGTGCATGTGTGTATGGTATGTGTGTGTGTAAGTTTTTGTATATACGTCTATGTATAAAAATGTTAGAGTAGTGATAAGGCTCTTGCTTGGATTGCCAAAGCCATTCTCATTAATGGTAAGAATTCTGTTTAGTGAAAGTTGAATTTATGAATGAATGAATGAATGATGTGACAATCAGATCTAAATGGTCAGAAAAACGAATGAACGAACGAATAAACGAACGAACGAATGAGAAAACGAATGAATAATAGCAGTGAATGAATAAAAGATGTACTTAATGAACAATAGAATTTAGATATAAATAAAAATAGTTAAATAAATAAACAAATAAATAAATTAATTAATTATTAAATTTTACCCTTACCACAGTAGCAATGGAAGATGGTATGATAGGGGCTTGCTGACGAGCCTGATTCTGATTGGCTGATTGTTCTGTGATTGGCTTTGTTGTAGCTCCGCCTACGTTTAATAATTAAGAGTTTTATCACATATTAATTTAGCAACATTAGCGCATCATTAGTACATCAAACTAAACAACAACAACAACAAACAACAACAAAAACCAACCAAGAACGGTCTCAATATTCTTCTTAGCCCCCACTCTCCCGCCATCGTTATCATTACCGCCGGCGCCAGTATCGTCAGCAGCAGCAGCAGCGCCACCATCATCGTCATCATCTTCGTAGTCGTCATCACCGGTCAGGCTTTTAACATTGTGGCCGCTACTTATTGTCGAGATGATGTTGTTGGTAGATGAGCTGCTGTTGCTGGTGCCCTTGCTACTTTGCTGCTGCTGTTGTAGCTGCTTTTGTTCTTCTTTTCTCTGACGGAGTGAAGGAGTAAAATGAATGGATGAATGAATGGATGAATGAATGGATGAATGAATGGATGAATGAATGATCGCCGCAATAGAATGAAAAAATATTAAACATTTGGCTGTTAAAAAGATGGACAAACAGAACAGACAGACAGACAGAAATTAAACAGATAGAGAGAGAGAGAGAGAGAGAGAAAGAGAGAGAAAAAAGAAAGAAATAGATAAATAGATAATAAATAAATGAATGAACAAAAGAATGAATGAATGTAAAACTTAAGAACGAATGAATAAAATGAATAATCTGTGTTACCTTCATTTCTTCAACGCCCTTGCCCAGGCCAGCATTGGTGAGCTGGGCAGCCAATAGCCTGTAAACAAAGAATGTAAATGTAAATAGTAGTGTAAAGATTGCTGTAAACAACAAATGTAAATAAGTGTAAAGATTGATGTGTGTAAATAGGAAGCGTGAATAATTATATAAATGGAAATGTACACAAATACACATTTATATATAAAAAAAAGTATTTTCAACATTTACAAATTGTATAAATTATGTTAACTATTTTCAACACTTGCAAATTTATAAATTATGTTAATTATTTACAACACGTAGAAATGTATAGACTATGTTAATTATTTTCAACATTTACATATGTACAATTAATTATGTTAATTAGCAACCGACCTTGCCATGTGTCTGATCTGGACGGCAGTTCCTGCCACAGCGATGGGGGTGTAGGTAGATTGAAATAGGGCTGGCATCTCGTTTGGTAACATCACCTGATGATGACGCAGACGATGATGATGATGACGTCATTAACCCGATGATATCATAAGTGATGATTAAGATAACGGTTGCAAAATAATTGTAACAATAGTAATAAATTTGATGACGATAAAGATGACGATGTCAACTGTTCACCACTCACTCACTTCTTCATTCACTCTCTCACTCATTCATTCTCATTCATTCACTCACTCACTACACTGAAAAAGACACTCATTCACTCACTCATCCTCTAACTCATTTACACCTCATTCACTCACTCACTCACTCACTCACTCATTCATCACTCACCATACTGAGAAGGACAAGGTCGGCCACGTTATGCGGGGTCAACCTGGCCACAAGGTCATCAGCTGTTATGTCAATGGCTGACTGGGTTTTTCCGATTTCTCCAACTTCAGAGCTACTTTTAAAAACTTTACTACCACCATTGTTATTATCACCATTATTATTATTATTATTATTATTATTATTATTACTATTATTATTATTATTACCGTCGTTTGCCAATCTATTACTATTAGCTTTGTCTGCAGATGTAGCACTACTATTATTATTTTTATTATTGTTGTTGTTGTTATTATTATTTAGCGGGATAATTTTCGGTTTCTTTACATTTCTTTCCGACTTAGCGACTGGAGCAGTGACAACGATTGGAGTATAATCCTCTTCCTCTTCATCATCATCACCATCTCCGTCGTCATTATTATTACTATTATCATCATTACGGGGCCTTTTCTTATTATTACTATTGTTGTTGTTATTGTTGTTGTTTGGTTTTGTTGTTGTTGCTGTTGCAGCAGCTGCTGCTGATGGTGGTGGTGGCGGTGGTCCCGATGTCGCCAAAGATGTGAGAGATTGGGAGGATGCCTGTGGGTTGGTTGATTGGTGAGTTGATTGATTGATTAATTGATTGATAATTTAATTGATTAGTTAGTTGATCAAATGATTTACTACTCACCAAATAACCAATCAATCAACCAATCATACCGCCAACAAACCAGCCAATCAATTGATTAATCAACAAACTAACAAACAAACAAACCAGTCAATCAATCAATCAATCAATCAATTAATCAATCAACCAACCAACCAATCAACTAACCGATGATATTATTCTGGCTTTCTTGGCGCCACTTCCACTACTACCACCACCGCTGCTGTCAACTTTCCTCTTTCTTTCATCGACTCTCACCATATTTTTAATCACCTGAAATCATCATTATCAATCAATCAATCAATCAACCAACAAATAAGACATTCAACAGGCAAACAAACGTACATACAAACAAACATGCATACATACAAAACCCAATATGCTGCCATCAAAAACGGTAGCCTTCTTAAACAAACACACACAAACAAACAAACACACAAACAAACACAAAAACAAACACATAAACAACCACCATCCTCACCTCATTCTGCGTGGCTCCGAGGTCAGTCAGTAAGATGGCGATGTTGGATTGGAGAGAGAGGCAGGCTGGCAGTCGAAGCAGGGCGAGCAGTTGCATCTTCAGGTGCTTCCGAACGCTACTCACCTGAGAGTTCGTCAGCGTTGGCGGGAGATTGACTGGAGGAATTAAAGGTGAATAAATAACGAAATAATGAACGAGTGAAATAATTAGTCGTGAAATGAATGAATGAATAAATGAATGAATGAATGAATGTATGTATGTATGTAAAAATGAATGAATGAATGAATGAAAAACGAATAAAAAAATAAACTATTTTATAGAAATTAATTAAGATGAATAAACGAGTGAATGAATGAATGGATGAATGAAAAAATGAATGAACGAACGAAAAACCAACTAACCGTGCAATGACTCAAACCCCTGAACAACGTCAACAACAAATTGAGGGCGGAGTCTAACTATGGTCGTCATCGTCCCCATCACAGTCATCAAGTTTATGCTGTCCAATAAAAGACATGGGTTTCATTTGACAGAATAATAATTAGATTAGATATTTAGATAAGATTAGCTGATGTAATAATTAGATTATTAATAATTATAAGATACTTTTAACTACAATTAAATTAATTATTTAATTATAGTTTAAAGTTATGTTAATTAGTTTATAAATTATTTATAAATTATATTAATTAGATTATAATTTAATTAACTATAATTTTAAACAGCAGCACATCCTAAAACGCCAGCAAACCTGGATATATGCAAAGAAGATTGATAAGCCATGAGCCTGCTGAAGGCTTTCTTTCCTTCTTCAATCAATCTATCTGTTCTAAAAATAGCATGGCCTTCAGGAACCAAGGTCAAATTGACGTCATCGTCGTTGTTGTTGGATTTTGTGTTTTTGTTGTTGTTGTTGGGTTTTTCCGACGTATGTTGATTGTCCTGTTTATTATAATAATATTATTACTTCTGTTCAGATGTGATGAAAATTAATTGATTGCAAATAATGAAAGGACGTTCAAAGCAACAAACAACAAAAGTAGTAGTAGTAATAGTAGCAGCGGTAGTGGTAGTAAAATAAATAAAAATTAAAGATCATTACTAACACTTGGAGGTTTCGACAAAGTGATGATGATGACTTCAAAAAATTTTATTGCATGGGTTCTTAACCTGTTGGTAGAAAGATTGATTGGTTAGGTTAGTTGATTGATTGGTTGGTTAGTTAATTGATTGGTTGGTTGATTGATCGACAGGTAGCTAAAACAAAATGAATGAATGAATAAATGAATGAATGAATGATACTCAAAGTAAGTAATTGATTGAATCAAGAAATTAACTTAAACAATCCAACAGACCAACCAGCCGAAAAATCCTTCCCATCAACCAATCAATTGACCACCAGCAACCAGCCAACCAACCAATCAGCAAACAAACAAACAAACCCTTCATTTTCCGCATCGATGTAGTCCATTACATGCCCTTGAATGCTGACCAACTGATTCCACGTCCTCTTCATCACATCCATATCTCCTTTGCTTTCTGCTACCCACTGGTGGTGATGATGATGGTAATGATGATGAAGTGGTGATGATGATAATGAAGTGATGATGATGATAATGAAAGGATGAAGTGATGATGATGATAATGAAGTGATGGTGATGATGATAATGAAATGATGATTATGATAATAATGCTGGTCGCACCCTAGCCCTAACCTTGAAAGCAGTCCTGTATATCTGTGCCAGTGACAAAATCAACTTCTTGAGGACACCAACGTTATCGGTGGCGATCATAATGGTGATGTTCATGATGATGCGTGGTAACAGCTGGGGATCGTATTTGCTGCGAGGATAAGTAGGGATGTGCCAGAAAATTAAAAATAATTCAGGAAAATGTTAGAAGAAATATGCGCTGGAAGATGAAACTAATTGAAAAAAGATTAAAAATACACATAGGTAACATGAAATAGTCCAAATAAGGAAAAAATGTGCCAATAAATATCAGGTAATAAATAATATCGGGTAATAAATAATATAAAAATTGCACAACAATAAGCGGCTAATAATTATAAAATAATAAGAAGAATATAAATAATAATAACGAAAGTAATAATAATAATAAAAACAACAAACCAGGAGACTTCCATAAAGTGGATGACAAACTTCTTAATCTCTAAAGATTTGTCCGTCTGAAAAGCCAGGGTCTCCTAAATTAATTCATTTAATTTTTTTTTATAAAACTACCATTAAATAATTAATAATTAAATTAATTATTGTTATTTATTTTAATTAGTTTTATAATTATTAAAAAAAATTATTCCTCACATCGAGAAAGTTATCCAATAAGTTTGGCTCCTTTTTCAATATCAACTCCTCAACCTTAAAAAAGAAAAATAAGTAAAAAAAATGAATTATTTGAAAAATAAGTAAATTATTTTTAATAATTACAATAAAAAATATTGATAAATAATAAAAATTATATAAAAATAGTATATAAAAATGCCATCAAATGCATGGCTGACTTAACTTTAATAATTTGATATATCATTCCAATTAAATTAAGAAACAAAAGTTCACTAAATATCTATTCAACTAAAAAAATTTTAAAGACAAATAAGATTTTACTATTTTGAGTCGCCTCAATTTCTCCTGGTCTTTCGACTCCAAAGAAGCTTCATTGAGCAACGAAACAACCTGATTAGAAATAACTTTTAATTATTTATTCATAAAAGTTGAATTAATTATTCAATTTAATTAGGGTAATAATTAGTTGATTAGAGAAATAATGTGCTGTAAAAAGGTTTGTACATCTTATTCTTAAATTAAAAATAAATATACTATTTTCTAGAATAAAAACTGAAGTCATTTTGCTATCATGGCATGTCCTAACTTAAAATTTCAAACTTTTGTTTGGGTCTTATAATCAAATGATTCTTCAAATCATTCATTAGATTAAAACAGAGTTCAGATCTGCAACAACACCAATCCTACCCCAGGTCTAATGAAATTTCAGATGAAAATAGCAAAACAATATCATACAACAGAAAAAATTAAATATATTGATTTAATCAGTCAGAGTCACTGAATTTAAAATTTTAACAATCATTATTTAGTTGTCTGAAAATTTAAAGTCAATAATTAACGATAAAAATAAGTCCAAGACACTAATTTTAATAACTCTTTCATAAGTGGCGTTTACGAATTTCTGTTCCTTTGACATTTTTCAAATAACAAATCAAAAGCAACCGATGCTAAACATTAAAAATTGACAAATAAATTTGAAATAATTTTTAAAAATTATAAATTGACAAATAAATTTGTTTGTGAAAATTTTTTAATATGATTCGCGGAACAATTTCATTCACTAATCCACTAATCGTAATGTTAACAAATAACAAATTCTTTTTAAAATTGCGGCTTATAACTCTGCCAGCATTTAAAAACAAACTTAAATACAAAGACTAGAACAAAGATAAAACAATAAAACTAACTTTGCAAATTTAATGTCTATGGCATCGTAAAAAAAGAATCTAAAAAATTTAAAATTTTTAAAACGCGTTAAATAGTTGTATATACAATTAATATAATAAATGCTAAAATGTATTATTCACAAATAATATTTCTACTTAGGATCTAGTTTTTTATTTAAAAAGCATAAATTCTAATTATTTGTCCTAGTCCCACTGTATTGGACACTTTGATATAATTCACCTTTACACATAATGTTCATGCTATTTATTTGAAGCCTAAATTTAAAAGCTTTTATTACTTTTTTCATTATTTTTTAAAAATTTTGTAATGAAGTGTTGCTGCGTTCCTTATTGCAAAAATGGCAGAGTTTTGAAGTATACGAAGCAGATCAAATTTTATTTTTTTCCGAAAGCGTTCGACGAGGAATCGGCCAGTCGCCGTTCAAAGTGGATCAAGGCCGTCAATAAAATTAAGTAGGTAATTATTTGGCGTTTTACTTTATTTTGGCCTGATTTAACACATTTTTATTCTAAAGAAAGGTTCATTTCGATTTTTTGGCTTTGTTTCACATGAAATACTATTAAAAAACTGTAAACTTTATCATACAGCTATATTACACTTTACACAACATACACAAATACACTAAATGACTAAAAATACTTATATATATATATATATATATATTTATATATATATTGTGTATACAGTCCCAATGGCTCAGCCTGGGAGCCAAGGCAGTACACCCAGATATGTAGTCAGCATTTTGTGAGTAATGAGGCCAGTGAAGACCCTGATAGCCCATCTTACATACCCACTCTTCGACTATCTGTTAGTATTTCTATATTTTTTTTATGAATAATTATGTACAAAAGTGAATGAAAACATAACAAAATTAAATTTTTTGTTCCATTTTACTATTTTGAGGTATGCTTTGTTTAATAGGTTAATGATTTTTCAATAAATTATGTTTTAATTAATTATTTTTTATACCTATTGTAGTTTTGTTTAAATAGTTTTATATTCTTGTAAATAATAAAATTAGAAAAGATAAATCATTACTTTAAAATTCATATAGCAAACAGTTGTAGTAGCCTACAACCATGTTCGGCCGAAATCAGCCCAGACCAGCTTGTCCAACACGACCCTAACGCCATCAGCATCTTCATCCTCGCTATCAACCATTTCTCCAAAGAAGTTACGTCAACATTCAGTAACCCAACTAAACAACAACAGCAGCAGTAGCATCAACAACAACAACAACGATGTTTTCCTACATCAACAACCACAACAGCAACAACAAATGACGTTATCAAGTTCTGATCATCAAAGTCAAATGAATAGAAATTTGTTACTGACAGATGAGGATACTAAGTTGATTGCACTTCAAACTTCTGCCAACATCAATAGATTAAGTACTATGATTTATTTATTTATTATAACCAACAAAGGAGTGGCAGTATCTATGCAATCTGTCTTTTTTTTTGTACAGAAAAACAATAATTTTCAAGCCCAGATTTTCAAAATGAGATTAGAAAACATCAAAGTTGTCATGCCATGCCTTTAACATAATTTTTCAAGATCCATAGTTATTTTTTGTTTAGTAACTTATTACAATGTAAAATTTTTGAAATTATACTATAGATACTTTTGAATAGAGTTTTACATTAAATTATCAGTTAAACAAGTTTCTTGGCAAATAGTCATTTGATATTCAAGTATAGCTAACTCATGTCTTCTCAGCCAATTAGATTATTCATTATATAAACCCAATAAACCTACCCACTCATCAACCAACTGATTAATTTCACAAACCATTATCACGCACTAACTAGTATAACAATCAACTTAATAACTCATCAACCAATCAGAGGATTAATTCAATGTCAATGATCACCAAGTAACTAGCCAATCAAACATTTTAACGTATTTTATAATCAACCAATCAGAGCCAACGGCTCGCTGGGGACATACAATGACGGTAACAAAAGATCAGATGGTGTTGTTAGTTGGAGGTCAAGGTGAGAAAGATGTTATTAATAAAGACTCCCTTTGGAAATTAGATCTAGGTATGTTTGTTTGTTTGTTTGATTGATTGACGATGTTGATGACGACGACGTCATTATCATCAACTAGCTGACGGCCAGTGGTCAGTTGTGGATTCGTTCAACGGTGGAAACAGGGTGGACGCTCGGATGGGGCATGTCTGCGTCTATGAGCCAGTCCTCAAGTTAGTAGTTTCATTGATTGATCGGTTGGTTGAAATGATCGTACGATGCAATGATGATGGTGATTGGTTGGCTGACTGATTGACTGACTAACTGACCGACTAACAGATTCATTGCTTGGTTATTTGGTAATGTGGTTTTGTTGTTTTCATTGATTGTTATAGATACAAAACGGACATGAATTTGAGAGTTCATACAAACAGTTATTCATACAAACAAACAAATACACAAATACACAAAACTATATACGTAAACAGGCAAACATATACACGAACACACATATGCACACACACACATACAGATATTTGTATATGCATGGTGGTGCCAGGAAGAATAGATGGTTCAATGATGTCCACGCGTTTGATGTTCACGCCAATAGATGGCAGATGATAAATGTATACGTCAATAATTGCCATTTTTTTTAATCATTGCTAATGTAATTATTAATTTTTGTCATTTTTCTTCTCACAAACTATATTAATCAAAGTCTAAACTTAATTATATAACTATATTAATGAACTGTATTAATCTATAGTCTTCACAGACCAGTAGCATTTCAGTATCAAGACAATCACAAACCAATCAAGCTACAAATTCCTCTCAAGACCAATCACATTTCGACATTGAAATAACCGCCAACCAATCAAACTACTAACTCCACCCACAGACCGTTGGTATCCCTACACCGAAACTTTCCTACCATTGTTGCGTGGCGTTCAACTACCAGCTCTGGTTCTTCGGCGGCACAAAGCCATCGCTGCCATCAACGTCATCGACGTTTTCAATGACGTCATCGTCTCTGGTCCTGGAGGAATGTACCGACGATGTTTACGTTCTCGACTGTCTGGAGAAGAGATGGCAGAGGATGACGGTTCAGGGTACGAAGCCGAAGAAAAGATCAGGGTTAGTTGACTTGCCGGCTGGTTTGGTTTGGAGGGTTGGTTGGTTGGATGGTTGGTAAGAATTTATTTAATATATTTTGCTACTCTAAAGGCACTCGGGGACCTTAATGAACGACAAAATGGTGGTGTTTGGTGGTTGGAACAATCCCACATGCTTCAACGACGTCTTCATATTAGATCTAAGTGAGTGATGGGGTCGAAGGGGTATGGCAGTTAGAAAGATGATGATGACGACGAAAGCTCTGCTGCTGCTGATGTTGTTGGTTGTAACACGGTTACAATGGTGGTGGTGACTATAATGGTGATGATGATGACGAATATAATGATGATGGTGTTAGTCATAATTGTTTACTGTCATAACTCTTTAAATTTCTCAAATTCGAATTAGTTGAATGTGAGTGGACTCAACCTGAAATTACTGGTCCGCCGCCCAGTCCAAGAAGGTACCTTCTTAGTACCTTTATTATTATTAACTTATTATTTACTTATCATAACTTCAATTGCTATCGCCTGTTGCATTTTATGGTGATAATTATTATCGTTATTAGTCTTTATTATATTAATTATTAATAATTACTTCTATAATAATAATTATTTTAGCTGGCATTCCTCTTGTGCACTGGGCACTGACCAGATAGTAATCCACGGCGGCTTCAATTCTCAGTGCGTTCTTGACGACCTATTCGTCCTGAATGTCGGCTAGTAAAGTTTATTATTTCTATTATAATAATATTTATTATTATATTAATTATAATTATCATTACGCCACTCAGACTTGTTGACGTGGACTAGATTACAACTCCAGCCAAGACTGCCCAGACGAACAGGTTAACGACCTTAAATGGCCTAATTAAACTGCGATCAATATTCGTTATGTCCCAACTAAATATCACCACTCACTGTCGTGGCTTAATTCTTTTGACCTAATTAAATATTTACCCTTTATCGTCACCATGTTATTATTATAATTTTAATAGGGATATAACCTTATTACACCACCACCAGGTCATGCACTAATTTGCCTACCGTACCACCATGAGAATGGACGCTTCCATCAAATTTTGGCGTTTGGGGGCGGAGACAATGACGGCGGTTTTTACTCCGATCTCGTCAACATCATGTTACCTTTCGTCTAATTGGTTGTTAAAATTGAAGCGTTGTTACCTTCTGTCTGATTGGTTGCCAAGATTTATGAATTATTCAGTCTTCTACCTGATTGGCTCCTAGCGTTTTAGGCATCGTTTTAAACTTCCATATGATTGGCTGCTAATCTAGAATTCGATATTTTTTTGAAGACTTTTTCATTTATTGACTGGTTTTATTTATTTTAACATTTTGTTCAATGTGTTTTATCGTATTTTCTATTTATTGATGTTTTCATTAATTTCATAAAATCATTTTCAAATGGTGACGCAATGAAATTGACTCTAGCCTTATACTGCGTTGTCAAAGTATATCAATAATAAAATGAAAATTATATAATTAATAAATATATGGGTTTTTGTTTATTAAAATAATAATTATTTTAATAATTTTAAGAGTAACTTTTATTTCTGTATGTTATTAACTGCATTAATAATCAACTTCTGTCGTAAAAGTTATATCAAAATGATAATATATTACGAAAATGGTAGAGAAATACATCATCTTAAGATAAAAAATAATAATGATATAATAATATATAATTAATAAAATAAGATTATTATGACAAAATAATAAAATAATGGTAAAGAACTGAATAGTTGAAAATAATGAAAGTCTAAGTGAAAAAGTAATCGATAGTAAGAACAGATGCTATTGGTTGGTTCGTTCATCTGAGGTAGCAAGCCGCGATCTGATTGGTCAGCCGTTGATGAACTTTCTCAAAGGAATCATTCATTCTGCCAAGCAATTTCACGTCGGCTTTTATCTGAAATAATCAATTTTATATATTTTAATATTATTATGCCGCAATATTTTTAAATTAATTAATTAATCGTAAATAATAAATAAATGTTTTAAGTTTATTACCCTTCGAAATCTTAAGGCGTCCCTGTATTCTTGTACATATTCGTTCAGTTTAAACAGCTCATCTGAGGTAAGTTGAATCTGATCGATTGAAGATTGTTATCCAGTTAGAATTGAGTATTCAAATAATTTTTAACCAATTAAACTCGAGTATAAAATTTTTTTACCAGATTAGTTAGATTAAAATAAGTTTAGAAAAAAGGACATCTCACATCGTCTTTTTCTAGAAGTGACATTGTTTCACCAAGCAACAACTGGAAGAATCTAATTAGCGCATTAATTAATTAATTTACAATTATTTATATAATATTATAATCGCATTGGTCAAGTAATAAATAAACGGTACGATATTTTATTTAGCAACCAAAATCTAAACGCAAATGAAATGTCAGAGAGCAGACGAAAGAAAAATTTAAAAAAATTTTCAACTCCAGCCACCCAAATTATTTGAATATATACAACATATCACATTTATAATAATTATTATATTTAAAAAAAATATATATATATATAATAATCATAATAAATAATTATCGACAACGATAATTGTGATAATCATTTTGAAAAACTGGAACATACTCATGGTGGATGACTGCCTCTTTCAAAAGAACAATCAAAATATTGATAGCACCTCCCAAGTTCCCATCATCTAAGAGCCTCTTATATTCAACTAATTTGGCTGTAGAATGGAGAGAATCAAAAGAATTAGGTTAAAATTTATTAAAATAATATTATTAATGAATAATATTTCCATAATAATTATTGATTATATTTAAAGTAACAGATTCAAAAATTGAAAAAAACTGGTCTTACTCAAGATAGTTAGCTGGATGTTAAAGTGTACAGTACCTCCAATATCAGCTATCACCTCCCATCTCTCTAGAATATTGCCCATCGTTATAGCATCGATGGCTAGTAACCTTATTAATATTCATAAATGAATTATGTTAATGAGTGAATAAATGAATAAATTAAAAAATAAATAGGTGTAGTGTAGATACATTGATAATGGTAATTTTTAAATGAAATTACTTTTTAACAATGGAGGCGGTAAAGTTTGTGTCCTGGAATTAGTTCAATGTCATCGTGAGATTAGGAAAATTATTTAATATTTATTATTATTATTATAATATTATAATAATAATTATTATTATTACTATTATTATCATCATCAACATTTTCATCAATCTACCAATTCATCCATTTGTTCATTTCTTTTTATCTATTTAAAATTCAATTCATTCGAAATTCATATCTCCATCATTCCATGAATGATTGAATGAATGATGAATGAATGATTAAGCTAATCAACCAGTCAACTGACCAGCAAACAGACTAGCCAACGAGTTAATATATCAACCTTTTCAATTAACAAATCTATCAGCTAACGACCAAACCAATGAACCAACCAATGAACTAATCAACCAACCAACCAACAAACCAACCAACCAGCCAGCTAGCCAACCAACCAGCCAATCAATCAATCAATTAACCAACCAATCACACAACCTTAGATCTGACAGCCCATATAAGAGCATTGGCATATTGTTTCTTCTGCAACCATTTCAATGAGAAACTTCTGCATATTATATTGGCTGGAAGAGAACATATTATTATTACTACTATAATTAATAATAATAATAACTATAATAAAAATATAATAATAATAATAATAAGCACTATCATCATCATTATTAAAATCATCGTCTCCTTCATCATCATAACGTACCTTCGTTGGATAGTTGATATTTGTTAAGTGTAATAATAACTATACTAAATAATAATAATAATAATTAGCACTATCAACATCGTAACCATCATCTTCCTCCTCCTCCTCCTCCTCATCACTAACTGCCAGCATCATCATCACCTTCATCATCACCTTCATCAACACCACCATCATCATCACTTTCATCACCACCACCATCATCATCACCTTCATCACCACCAACATCATCATCGCCTTTATCACAGCCACCACCATCATCATAATCACCACTACCGGCCTTCACTCAACAGTTGATATTTGTTACAGGTGTGTAGTAGCTTCTCGACTTTTAGCGTCGACTCCAGAGAATCTCTCAACACCAAGTCACCTATATGCGCTCTACAGACGGTGGTGGCGAGGACGAGGACGACGATGTGGTGGTGATGATAATGTTGACGATAATGACAATAAAGATTATGAAAGTGAATGCATCACAATAATAATGATGATGATGATGAATGTGATATGATGACGATAATGATAGTAAAGGTATTACGATGATGAAATAATAATAATAATAATAAAAACAATAATAATAACTGACTTCCCATAAGCAGGGCAGCTTGAATAGTAACCGATGGCTGTATCTCTCAGACTAAATAATAATAATAATAATAATTATTATTATTATTATTACTATTATTATTAATTTAAATTCATCAATACCAAGGTCGACGGTTTATTGGAGCATTATAAAAATTTCCATAGCAATTTTTATCTAACTTTGTTTAAAATATAATGGCCGAAATCTTTTAACGAAAAACTGATTAACGCGATAATTCGCTCGTCATATAGCATATACTGTGACGGAAACACTACTTAACCAATTTTCTTACTCTCAAGCACATGTCGATCAAAGAGCATGAGAGGATCGTACATTATATTTTACATCTCACTCATTTACACTCTGATATATAATTAATGATTTTCGATTGATTTCATTTGGGTTTTATCTTTTCGGTCAATAAAAGAATGTTTCTATTATCAAAAATTAGTCAAAATCGTGATCATCATCAATCAATCAATCAATCAATCAATCAATCAATCAATCTATCTATCTATCTATCTATCTATCTATCTATCTATCTATCTATCTATCTATCTATCTATCTATCTATCTATTTATCTAGCCATCACTTAATCAACCTTGGACATGAAACAAGGGATGAGGCGTATTCTAGAATAAAAAATTCTCTAAGGTTTGATCCAAATCTATAAAAAAAAATTAAAAAATGTTTTCAACCAATCAATCAATCAAACAAACAACCAATCATAAAATCAATCAAACTAATTAACAACCAACCAATCAATCAATTAACGAACTAATCCACAAATCAAATCAGTCAATCAGCCAGTCACTCAACAAATCAACCAGCCGACCGAATAAAGCAACTTACAAATCAGCCAATCAAATCAACCAACCAACCAACCAATCATCACCGTCGTAAAAAAAACCCCACAAACCCAGCCGGCTTATCATCAATGTGTCCACTGTGCTGTAGTAGGTCGGTCAGGTGACACACGAACCACCAATTAGGAAAGGTTGTGCTAATTTGGAGGAGCGTGATTGGTAGTTCAGAAATAATAAATTAACATAATAATTGCAAATGACCTCACCACCATCATATCAACACCACCACCAACGTTATGATAATCGGACAGAAAAAATTCATCACCATCATCATCATCATCATGATTACCACAACCCCCAACATCACCACCCCCGTCATCGCCCTCATCACAACTCCACCATCACCACCATCTTCACAACTGCCTGCCCACCTTGCAATACAAAGGGCCTCTCTAATGTCCATCATTATAATGGATAGGATGATGTTATCCCAATCCGTCAGACCCAGGTTCCCGCCATATTGATCGATGCAAAACTGTCAATCAATCAATCAATCAATCAATCAATCAATCAATCAATCAATTAGCCAACCAAAAAAATCCATCCAACCATCTATCCATTGTCATCATCCACATTTTTTTGATCAAACGTTCAGTCCATCTTTCAACAAACCTAACTAACTTTCAGTTAAACTAAAACTTTAAATTAATCCACAAACCTATCAACTACTCAATCAATCAAGCAACCAACCTGCACATGCATTTTTAAATCAGTAGCCTCACAGAGTGGTGATTGGTAGAAGAGTCGACAAATCAGCATGCAGTACCAAGTTCCCAGCGAATCACGGAGCTTTGTGAACATTTGGTCCTGCCCAGCAAGCAACTATCAACCAATAAGAACAAAGAATTATTGACCAATAAAAATTGAAAATTATTACAGACCGTTATCAATATTTTAAAACTTGAAAATTATATAATAGCTCTGTTAATTCTACATAAAAATAAAATGTCAAAATCATCATCACAATAATAATAATATTAATAAAAATAATAATAACACTGATAAACTTGTAATGATAAAAATAATTACGGTTGTAATAGAATTAATTACGATAAGAACCTTGCAGAGATCGCTAAGTTTGTCATCAACGGAGAAAGTTCCATCTTCATCCTGTTCTTCGCAGACCAGGTGCCACTGCCTCCATTTCAAAGAGAACTCCTGCTGAGAGTACTGGCCGTGCTGGAAATTAGTGGATGGATGGAAGGAAGGATGAGTTTAACGAATTCAAAACAGAGGGGAACACGTTCGCTCATTCTATAGAACCCACGTTTGTTTCAACTCACACCTTAATAAAATCTTCTCGACAAAATTTTAAAAATACTCGTTTGAAACATCAGAGCAAAAAATCTTATTTAGAAGGGCATATAAACGCCCTATGAGCCACCCCACCCTCAAAGATAACTTTATATACAGCGAGATACTAACACCCCCTGTCAAAGGAAGGCATACATACAAAGGGGGGGTGTACAAACGCCCCCATAAACCCACCCCTTCTCGAGGATAACCTTATATATTGGCATTTTACTGAGTAAAAGATCCATGGTCCTGAAGGGTTCCGTGTGAGATGATGAGTGAAGCGAGAGGAGGTGTCTGGCCTCCTCTATACGAGCTAAACATACCAGGGAGTACAGCTGCGTGAATGGATGGATGGATGGATAGATGGATGAGTGAGTGAATGAGTGAGTGAAAGAATGAGTGAGTGAATGAATGAGTAACTGAAGAATGGAAAAATGAATTTAATAATAAATAAATGGACGAATGAGAGATATCTTTACAGCAGTTAACCTTGCATAGACTGATAAATGAATAAAAAAAGATAATTGAGTGAGTGAATGAATGAATGAACGAATGATGAATGAATGAATGATAAATGAATCATCATCATTTCACCGCATCCCAGTATAGATGATGTTTATCGTAGAGTTCACTTTTAATGACGCGATTTACTTTGTTGTCACCGTCGTAAAACTTCATCTGAAACCAATCCATCAGCTGACTGACTATGTACCTGCCTGATTGGTGGCCTGCGTTTTGGTTGGCGATTGCTGACTGGTCAGTTGATTGATTGGTCAATTGACTGATTGGTCGGTTGATTGATTGGTTAATTGTTAACTTAGTTATTTAATTGATCGATTGGTGACAGAATTAGTTCATTGGCTTGTGATCTAGTTAATAATTGATTGAATGGTTTGTGACCTACTTAGTGACCTATTTAAACATTAATTGATTGATTGATTGTTTGATTAATTGAAAGAGTTGATTTGGTTAGTTTGTCTGGCGCATAAGATGGTTGATTCGAAAACAGCTCTTGGTGAAGTGAAACAAATTGTTAAAGAAATCAAAATTTACAGAAATAGATCAAAATAAAACCTGTGATAATTTCTAATGGAGTCAAATGACTTAATGAGCAATAAAATGAAATGAGTAACAGAAAAAAAAAATTAATTCACTGACGTAAGAAACACCAAATAGACAGTCATTGGTTATTGAAACAAAACAAACAAACGAACAAACAAATCTGATTGGTTGATAAAACATATAGGGAAATACAAGGCTAGACCTAATTGGTCAATGAAAATGATTTCCGCCAAACTCCATAGCAACTCTGTCATCTCCATCAATTCTAACTGTCCAATCATTATCCGGTTATGATTATCATCTTTCGAGAATCCTGATAACGATGATGGTAATGATGATAGTGATGATGATCATTCGTTTTGTATGATAATGTTGTCGGTTTTACAATGATTAGACTGTAGTTTTAGATAATAATGATGATGATAGTAATATAATGATACTGATGATGATTGCAACAACGGCGATGATGATAATGATTTCAATGACATCAGTGATGATGATGATGACGAAGTCACGCACTCAATAGCGACTGAAGATGAATGGTACAGGCCTTTATGGTCGATCTGTACTGCCGGCTATAAGCCAACAATCTGTCAATCAAAATAATAATAATATTATAATGATAATATAAAAATAAAATAACTTCTTAAAAAACTTATTGATTTATTATTATTATTATTATTCACAAATAAATTAGGAGAAAAATACAAAAAAAATGTAACAATGATTTCACTAATTTACTTGTTAGATCGCATTTTTTCTGCCATATCTTCATGTCGGCCAGTGCCGAATTCACTCTGAACATTCAGGAAAATCACTAATTTAGGGAAAAGTAATATGGGTAGAATCAAAATTTTAGAATGTCATTCAGTTTAGCTTTTTATCATAATTAAACTAAACCTAATTAACAAATTATTCTGTCTAATTAACATAATCTAGCTTTCTTGAATAATTTTAAATAATTTAACAATAGCAAACAAATTAAATGTATATGCATAAACACACATACATACACAATACACATATGTACACACAAACACACACACACACACACACACACACACACACACACGTGTAACCAATTCAACTCATGATCAATTCCAAAACATCTTGCAGGTTATAATTATTGCTTAAAATATTATTTTAAAATTCTACCACTATTTGTAAACATTAACAAAAAATTATTAACGTCTAAATTCACTTTTAAAATTTTATTTAAAATCGTGGCATGATGGCCTAATGGTTAAGGTTGCCTGCTGTTGTTTCACAGTAACCGGGTTCGAATAAGACAAAAAGATTCCCGCCTATCACATGCTTTGAGTGTGACGTGTCATTTAGCTTGTATTCGTATACGATGTTTGTAGCATGTTGTCGAATCCTCACTCACATCTGGATTCGCATAAGACAACTCTCATCTCTTCCTGCTGCATGTCAATGTCCCAGACCAGATGATCAATTCTCACTTTTCTGGCATCTTCTGGTTTTGATAGATCCAACGGCTTGGTTTTGTTTTCTGGTTAGTTAGGAGAAAACAAAATTAGGTGCTAGAAATTTCAAATCGAAGTATAATGATTAAGTAATCCGGTTGTTACACTAAAATGTTACAAGAATAAAACTAGAAACTGTATGAGTCTAAAAAGGCTACAAAAAAATAATTAATAAAATTTCTAATGAATTACGAATGTGAACATGAATTATACATATATATCTGTATATCACATATATATATAATATAAGAATGAAATTTCAAAGGTAAATAATTAAATATTAATTAGTTAATTAACTAATTATTAAGCATTAAAAATTACAATTAATCTGATTTTAATTTCATTGAATTTTAACATTTATTTAACTGTTAACAAATTTTTCATCATTTTTTTTATATTTTCAAAACTTATAGTTCAGTCAGAGTTAAACATAAACTCAAACTGTTAGATGTCAGGTTAGCATTTAGACTTTTAGAGAGAAAGATAGTGGGCATGTAGTTCAAGATCACCATGATAAGTGCTATTTAAGCAATTGAATACAAAATGAAAGATAATGATTAAATTACCATTAGCCGGTCTGTAATGGCGGCCATTGTACAAAAACAAATGATTTCCTATTCCCCAGGTGCACTTTAATAATAAATCTGTGTCAGATTTCGTGAAGACAGCATTTTCTTTTTTGGACGGCTTAAAAATATATTTTAAAATTAATTTCAAAATAACATTTTTAATCTTTATAATAAATAATTTAAAAAATTTAAATTACCGTCAATTCAAATAATTCGCGCTTGTTCATACTTGTATTATCGTTTATTTGTTTTTTTTTAAACCCATAGAGCTCTAATTTTTCAAAATGATTTGAGTGGCTTTTTTTACTCAAAAATTGAACTATCATTATTGTTAAAATGGTCTATAGTGTTAGTCAGAGTTTACATGTTGCTTTGCTATTTTTAGGACAACAGCATAAATTAATCAAAAAGTTATCAAAATCACTATTTTAATTTTTACTAAAATAAAATAGATAATAGTGATAATAAAGGCGTTTAAATTCGTCCAATTTTAAACCTATACCCGTCATATAATTCATATTTGTTCAGTTTATTTCGTAATTATCAAGAAAATTTTTCTATTTACTCAATTGCATATTTAAAATAATTCTCTTTTTGGTATTCGTTTTATGAGTAACTAACAAACAGTTAAGAAATGGATGTATTTATTCAATCATCAATTAAACTAGGTATTTTAATCAAATTTTGTTATAAAAATATAATTTAGATTAAATTGTTCTTTCGTTTTCATTCTTTTTCCATTCTGCATTTTTCAGATACTTTTCAACATGGTATGGTACTGAAATAGTGCGTTTTATGACGTGTGTATGTATTGTGACGTCATTCAATCAATTAATTGTTTTTTTGAATAACTTATTTTTATTATATAAACTAATATTTTTATGGAAATAATAATTAAATAGCAAATGGTCATCATTTCTTAATAAATTCATCCATTAATTAAATCCATCAATCATTTAATACCTTGTCTATCATTCATCCATACATTCATGTATGCATTCATTCATCCGCTCGTTCGTTCGTTCATTCATTCAATCAGTTATTTGTTTATATTTATTTATTAATCCACTATAAAAAAAAAATTTTGAAAATTTACCGACATTCGTGACATCTTTGCCGTGAATCATCGTTTGCGCCAGGACCTGTATGTACACTTCGGGCAGTAAAGTAACCCCTGTGTGTATTATATTATAGATATATAGATGGAAATATATAGATAGATAGATACATGGATGGAAATATATATATAGATATATAGATGGAAATATATACCATCACAAAAAATCTTTCATGGAATTCTCACCTACAAACTACCTCAGACAAAATCAACAAACTCACAGGCATCTTCTACAAAATCAAATATAAACTCTCTCGTTCTGCTCTTCGCACGCTTTATTACACATTCATCTACCCTTATCTAACCTACTGCATCACACTATGGGGAAATAGTCCATAAAGCCACCTGAATAATCTAATACTTTCCCAAAAAAGATCAATACGTTTAATTTTTAACCTTAAACCCGATTCTCATACTAAACCCTTCTTCCTAGCAAAAAAAATTTTACCAGTTAACTTTATCTGTCTTTACTACTCTGCTTTATTCGTTTTTAAATTTATCAACAATCTTCTCCCACCTCACTTTATCAACTTCTACACATTAAGTAACTCCGTTCAATCTACAACCACTAGACACACCCCTCTCTTCTATATCTACAAAACTCGCCTCAAATTAATCCAGACAAGCATAAAAATAACAGGTCCTAAAATTTGGACAGAACTTGTACCTCCCCATCTAAGAGCCATCATAAACCTACAACATTTCAAGTCAAAATTCCGTGCTTTTTTATTGACACTGGATCTCGACTCCACCACCTAATATTATATTAAGAATACGTTAGAACAAATGATGCGGATGAATGGTCTTTATGAATGGTTAAACATTTATGTGTTTATATATGTACTGAGCGAACATTTACATAGTTATATGTCTATATATGCATGACACGAACATTTACTTATTTATCTTCAATTATCTTTCTGCTTCAGTTATTTTCCTTATTTTATTTCATTAACTATTCATGTATCTACCTGATATGGCCACCACAAGACAAACAGTCTTATTCGGTCTCCGCATATTCAACTTCATAACTTTTATTCACTTATTTGATATGTTGTTGATTATGAATAAAACTTTGAAAATGAAAAAAAAAATATAGATAGATATATGGATGGAAATATATAGATAGATATATGGATGGAGATATATAGATAGATATATAGATGGAGATATATAGATAGATACAGAGTGCATTAGCACACCTTCCACAAAATTTTGAAACAAAAGTTGAATAATGAATGTAATGAACAAAAAAAATAATAATAATGTATGCTGAGTGTAAGCAATAAATTTGCGAAGGAAAAATTATATGAAAATTTCAGAATTAAATAATTTTGCCAAATAATAAAAGAAACTTGTTTTCAACACGAAAAAAATTTTGGTCGGGCACATTTGGCGTTAACGAGTTAAAGCGAGAGCTTATGCGCCAAAATGAAAGTCGAGTGTGCTGAAGAGCTTACAGAGCTTAAACCTATAAATATATCGTGATTGAAAAGTTGAGAAACTGAACATATTTTCAGTAAAGTGAAACAAAATTGTAACTGTGATTAAATCATCCGAGATGGAAATTAAATTTGATAAAAAAAAGGAATACAAGAAAGATAAACTAACGAGGCCTCTTTTCCCTGGTTGTTCGGAAAAAATCTGCGTATGTTGGTAATTAGCAATTTTATATTTTCTTAGACATATCAATCAAATTTAACATTTAACTTCGTTAGCTTAGATAATTGTATTATAGAGATTGATTCTCTCACACAAGGGATACAAACTGTCTTTCAACGCTCATTTCGTCCATTGAACCTGTTAAAATGCTACAAAAACACATGCAGTTTAGTCTGTTGGCCCCTTGTACTTATTGTCACATTTCTGTGTTGTAATTGAATATCCAAGAGAATTCAATAACGAAATGTTTTACTCACCTCTCGTTTCTCAACTGCTTCACGGCTATCCGGTTTACAAAATTAAAACATGTCAGTCACAGAAAAAATTTAGCGACAAAATAATGTAGTTAGTTGCTAAAATCTCCTGGTTTTGTGTTGCAATGATGAGTCTGTGTGTGTGTTGTCTGTGCGTGTGTTGTGTGTTTGTGTTGTGTGTGCGTGTGTAGTTGAATTTACATACATTACATACCTTTCTTTTTCCGATAGAATCATTATAATGTTAAAAATATGATAACAGCTTTAAAAAATGAATATATAAAAACTTGAACTTGAATGAATATATATAAAAAGTTGAGCTACAGCATGGTGTAATGGTTGAAGCCGTCTGAATCTACCTTGAAAGTGACAGAGTTCAAACGCAATGTTTGCTAAGTTAATCTAAACACAATCAGGTCGTTGTTAATGCTGAAAAACGCAGTAGAATTAAAAAACCCACATAAAGAGCGCTTGATATATGTTAGTGCATCTGGTACTAAATAATATTTTATTAATTTAACAAAAAGTGTTACTGGCCTCTCCCTTCCCGAATGATCCATGATGGATTTGTGAAAAAAATTCGCGAATCATGAAAAAAATTGATAGGGCTATCGACAAAAATAAAAAAAAGACCTCTCTATTTTCGGAATCTCTCCAATCGTCAGCGACGACAAAGGCCAGCAGGCAAGCCACAGCCGCCAGCATGAAAAAACTTGCTAACTTTCCCGCCATTTCGATATGGATTTGATATCTGATGATATTATAGAAATGTACACAGTTTCGAGGAAGATATTTCAAACTCAACTGCAGAAATGGGTAGAAAGATGCTTCAGTTGATCGTATTTACAAGAATTTTAAGAGTTACGATGCACTAAACAGCTGAATGTTCAGATAGATATAGATCGGCCAACGGTAGACATATGTACGAGAACTAAAAAAACATGATAATAAATTAAATGAAATTTTTGAGCAATAAAAAATAAAAATCATAAAACAAATTTAAAGAAATAAATAATTCATCGATTTGGACATTCATCACCATCATGCGACTTTCTTCCTATTGACAATCCTATCAAATAAAAAACAATTTAGAAGCAAATTTACTGCAAAATTCAAACATATGTACCCGTTTAATGGCTAGAAATATGTATACATATAAAAAAAACACACACCACCACCACACACCCACTCTCTCTCTCTCTCTCTGTCTCTCCCTCTTTCTCATGCAATCATCTCTCACACACACAAACACACACACATATACATACATACATACTGTATTGTTTGAATTCTAACAAATTGTTGGCACTAATCAATTTAGCGTTTGTCTTTTCTATTTTCCTTACTAGAATTTTTTAATTTGGTACTATGATAATTTTGTCTTTTAAACATTGTTAATATATTTTCACACGGATTTTCATTCTGGACTAATTATAATTAATTAATTACATCTTACAAACAAAAAATCCAGGCGATCAGGAATAGTCTTTATTTTATCAATCGTTAATTAATTAAATTATTAATGAATAAACAAATTAATTATTAATTTTATGTAATTAAAATAATGTTGTCAATTTTCTGATGGTTTTTTCTTATAGTTTCGTTAACAAGGCCCTGAAATTTAATTTATTTCATTCTTTCATTAATACATTATCCCATTTATTTATTTATTCATTTATTCATTCATTCAGTCAATCAACCAATCATTCATTCAAAACATTCATTTATTCGTTCGTTCGTTCGTTCATTGATTGATTCATTCATTCATTTATTCAAATCTTAAGTGTGTATGTGTTTTTGATTTTACGTACCTCTTTTTTACCATGGAACTGGCTGCCTGTTAAAAAATGATAAAGTGCCGCATGTATAAAAGTTTTTATATGTGTGTGTATGTGTGTGAGTGTGTTTGTGTGTATGTGTTTGTATGTGTGTGTGTGTGTGCGTCGTTGGTTTTACATACCTTTTCACCCTTTTCTGCATAGAATCATTATCCTGTTAAAAACTTTTAAAAAATATTTAATAAATTTAATTGTCATGTAGTTAAAAACTCTCATGGTGTGGTGAGTGAGTGTGTGGGTGCGTTTGTGTATGTGTGTGTGTGTGTCTGTGTGTGCGTGTGTGTGAATGTCGTTGATTGTACATACCTCTCTTTTCCCAATAGAATCATGATCCTGTTAAAAAAAATGATAACAGTTCTAAAAAATGAA